CCTTAGATTGAAGAAACTCTTCCGTGTGAAGAGCATGAGGCATGCTGTGTAGCAGTCCAAAAGATCAACAAGGATACAAACATAGATCGCTACTAGATCATGAAGCAAGAGGATTCTGTTCATGCCATAATAGCTGGTGCCTGGGAAATCAACATGTCATGGCTGGCTCAGCACAATGAGATGACAAAGCTTGTCAATTGCCACATGCAACCAGGAGAGTCTGCAAAAAGTAGAAATCATGATGATAGTTAGTAATTTCAAGTACATCAAGCAGCATCTCTCCTCCCTTGCAACATCCCACAAAGGAGGTTGTAAAGAGAGGCATTCAAGCTATAGATGACTCGGAACACACCTATGGTGGCTACTATTAGAGGATCATCATCCTATGTTGGGATGGACAGGAGCTTGATCTAGATGCTATGAAAAAGCATTTATACACTCAAGTGTTTGGACAAACACAACAGCAACAACATCATCAGTACTAACTACTGCATAGAATTGGCGGAAAGCACACTAACAATGGCCTTTCCTTGTTTAAACAGTGTTAGGGAAAGTTTGGACTAAAGTGTTGTTACAGATGTCATGAAGTTGGAGACAAGGCAAAGGCCATTTGTCAATCAGTACATAAAGCAAAAGAATTGTCCTTAAGCAAACGTTGTTAAATTTGAGGATGGTGAATCACATGAATACTAAGGTCTCTATTTTCTTTATATAACATCATATAACACCATAAAGTGGTGGATTGTAACACACATTTTGTCAGCAAATAAACTTGCTTCCTCAAGCCTTAATTTTGCTAGGTTTGATCAAAGTGTTCATATAGTTTGTGGTTTATCAATCCAAATTTGTGGGATTGAATCAGTTCTCAATAAAATATTACACTATATTCTCTATGTTCTTCAAGTTTCAGTGAATTCTTTTTCAATATCAAAACTCTCCCAAGATAGGATTTGTGTACAATTTCACTACCAATGATAAAGATAGCATTCTCAAAATTAATTTATATTATCTATTAGAATCTTGTCATCATGAGAAGGGAAGATGATAAAGCTACTAATAAAATGCTTAATAAATCAAGAATAAAAAATGGATCTATGTTGAATATTCAAAGTTCTTAAAACACTTTTTATGATATGTATATATATTTTAAGTGAATTTAAATTTATATATAATTCCAAATGCCACATCTGGATAGAATTCCTAACTGCTATTAATAAAATATATTTGATTTGGTTAAAGAAACTCATTCATTGGCTTACACTTGCTAGTGTTAAGAACTTTTGCAATATTAAGCCTAAGATAACTTACCAAGACACGTTAGTCTTATTTTGGTTCTATTAATTATTTATGGAAAGTGTCTAGATTTGTTAATGAGGCATATTTACAAAATGTAAAGATTGTGTTAAACACGACAATATTGTTCTTATGCTTAAATTCACAATTTAACACCATTTCATATTTATAAAGTTTTTGAGTTTGTCCTAAAAGCCAACTCTTAAGAGATTGGAGTAAAAGCCCAAAACATGTTTTTATATAAGGGTATTGTTTGTTTTTTTCTTCTACATGGGTTTAAGCCTAAACTCTATACTATATTAACTGATGGAATATTTATATCCTTGTGTTAGGGTACCAATGCTAAAAAAGCATTAAACTTCATTTGCCTTTGTTTTGTATGTTGATCTTAATATAGATATTGAAAACTTTAAAACTATTCTAGTGGTATTGCTTTATGTTTTTATGCCTCTACATCTTGGATGTACATTCATGTTCTATGCTCTTGTTTCTTAAGAGTTTAATTCCATCCCTTCATTTAGTGGCTCAAAACTTTAAACCTCAAATTCCGGCATATGTATTCAATAGTTGCCTTATAGTTATCATATAGTAAATTACTATAGGGTATATAGTCAAAACCTGTGTCCTACATATATAGAGTTAAGCATTTTTATAGTTGAATAATACTAAAAATCCAAATTCAAGAACTTATATTAATCTTGAGTTCAAATCTCATATATAGAGGTTTAAGGTTTGACTCCCATTGTGGCTAGTAATCATAAACATGCTCACAAATAGATAGTAAATACATGACATCCCATCCCCCCCTCCCCCTCTAATGCCAAGCACCAAATTGCAATTAAAGTGATGTAAGACTAAACTTAAGTGGATATTGTTAATTTATAACTAATTAACAATATATATATATATATAAGAAATACTTTCAAGTACAATCACTAGAAGAATATCTAAGCTAACTAAATAAATAATATAATCTATGATATTGGTACTTCAAATCAAGGTTGGTAGAACCTTAAACTCCTTAAACTTATAAACACAATGAGAAATAAGCTTATAAATGTGATTTTTAGGAAAATACCCAAATCAGTCAAACAAATAATACAATTTATAGTATTTACACTTTGAGTCAAAGATGGTATAAATCTCAAACTTGAAGAGTTTGTGATTTTCCAATGTCAACAATGTTGCCAAACCTTTGATTCAATTGGGAATAATCAACAACATAGTAATGAGAAAAGTAATGGTACATGAACAAAATTTAAAGCAATAGCATGAATAACAATGGAACCATTTATAAGATTAAGTGTTGGAAGAAATAAATATAACCTATAAAGATGAAGGTCATAGTTGATGAAAAATGAAAAGTGATATGTTAAATAGTATTGAAAACTATTATAAAAAAACTCAACAAAATGAAGGAGATCAATTTAATCATTCTGTTGATGGGAAATAAAGTATCAAAAATACTATTCAAGATTTTTTGATACTTGTTCATGGATAGTATGTGAAAGAAGAAAATAAAATGACCCTAAAAGGTGGAAAAATTTGAAAATGATCACTTATAGAAGATAATATCATTTAGCAATTCATGAAGACAGAAAATTTCTTTATATATAAGCTAAAACAAGTGCTTTCCATCAATTGTCTTTTAATATGGCAAAAATGTGCTAATTTGATAAATCAATTGACCACAACAAGGATTTTGCAAATCCTTGATAATATAAAAGATCAATAAGGAAATTTATACAAATATTGAAAGCCATAAAACAAAATAAGGGGTTAGAGAAGACTAATATCAAAAAGAATCTTTCTAATTGTTTTATTAGGAATTCTCAAATTCATATGTGTCCAAAAAAAATGAGTTTCTTTATTTGGTAGTTGACTATTATAATCTCAACAAACTCACCATTCCTAATTAATTAATATATATTAATTTATTAAATATTGTTGTAGCTTTTCAAATCTTGGTTCTTCAACTAAATTAATTTGTATAATATTTACAATTTTATTTGCATTTAGAAACGGAATGATTGGAAAACACCATTCCATACTAGTTATAACCACTTCAAGTATATAGTAATACTTTATAGTGTAACTAACACTTTTGCTATTTTCCAACAAATGGCAAACAATATTTTCATCTTTTTTGATGATATTTTTATCTTTTTTAAAAGGAAAACATAACTATCATGTTTGTCTTTTTCTTTAGCATCTTCAATAATGAAGAAATATTCCTTTGATAAAGTTTTGGTGAAATTTTCTGGCTATATTATTTTATCATATTTCTTACCTAAAGTTTTCACCATTTTTTAGTAGCATATTTTTAGTAGCAATATCCAACTTTTAATTTATGATGTTTTATATTTTTTTGTTTTATGAACTTTTATCAGTGTTTCATTCAAAAAGTTTCCAAAATCATTCTTCTTTTAATGTGATTCACTATAAAGAGTACCTTTTTTTAATAGTCTTTTGCTATTTAAATTTCTTTGATTTTCTGAAGTTTACATTCACTTCTACTTTACTTTTCATCTATATAGATAAAACAAAATTTTATTTTATTGAGGCAAATGCTTCAAGTTTTATTTTATACACTATCTTGTTGCAAGAGGAATTAAATAACAAGATTCACCCACTCTTTGAAATATACCACTGTAGAGATTAATTTGCAATTTTAGGCCTTTGAAGCTTTCATTTCCTTTAAAAGTCTTTTCCATATGATCACAATTACAACAACTTTTAGTTTTGGTCTTTGGTATGTATCCTCAATTAGTGTCAAACTCAGTGGTTATAATTACTATTCAGTTAGTTTATAATTATATATTACTAATGAAAAGTGAATAGGAAAGTTGATACTTTTACTCAATATAGTTATATCACACTATCACTTAAAGACTTTCTATTCAAATTTTGACATTAGAGTCTTTTGGATTTCTTTTGCTTCAAAATCAATTCCTTTGCACAAACTTTTTACTCACTCCTTCAATTTTATATTTATAAAAGGCATACTAAACAAAGGCCTCAAATCCATTTGTTCAAAAAACTTGACAATCAATTTCTTTCTATATATGGTGGTTTTTGATTTTATCAATTTTGAGATGGATTTGATCAATTTTGGGAATTCTTCATAAAAAGACAATTGATGGAAAACAATTAACCAAACTTATTTACAAAGAAATTTTCCATCTTCATAGTCTCAGAAAATATTACTAGTGATTAAAGGCCTTAATTTGTTTCTATCTCTTCAAATCCTTTCTCAAACTTATGCCTTCTCAATTGCTAAGCACTACACTAAGGTGGATATGTTTAAAATGGAAGAAATATACTACATTCTTTCTTTTATAATCTCTATTAAATAGTTCAAATCATTCATCAAAGTGTCTTTAAATTTTATATCATGTTTTTAATGCTGTCATATGTGGTGAGATCATTCATTGACAATCTTGTTAGAACTTAATTTGAAATAAGAAACTGCAGATTTAAAAATCATGAAGTACTTTTCCAAAAAATCCTTCCGACCAATCTCACAACAATGGGAACACGTCTCTATACTTCCAGCTTAAAGTCTTTAAAGTGTTTTTGTTCCTCAACAATAGTAAAAAAATACATTGTTATACTTAGATCATCATGAGAACACATTAAAACTCGTTTTGAAGACAAAACAGGGGCAAAGAATGAGGATAGTTAACCCAATACTGACTTGAGTGGAAGGCATATAACAAGGTGCGCCAAGACACTCACTTTTTTATTCAGTTTTTACAGCAGCAACACAAAAAGTCGAGCGTGGAGAATCTTTACTGGCAGCCCAGCTCTTAAACATATTGGAACCAGGACGTCCACTGGTCAGATGACCTTCATGAGTTATTAGTGCAAGCAAGGTACTAGCGACTGTAACCCTCAGAAGTTTCTAAGGGGGCCTCTCTCCCCTGCGCACAGGACGAGTTTTTTAAAGCCTGGAATTGGAAGGGTATTGCCTGCTTGAGCAGAAAAAAGGAGAGGAAAACAAATAGAACTCTCTATGGCTTACCAAATTCTTGGAGTCACGCTGATGGATTCAGCTGCACGGCCTTGGACACATCCAGCGACGAAACACGACATGTACCAAGTAGCATCTCTGGAAGATCCTCTTCGGTGTTCGCCTGCACAAATTTGGTGTTGTTTTTACATTTGTTGGTCAAGGAATTCTGCCTTGAAAAAGAGTACCTGTATCAAAAAGGCCATCTCCACAACCAGCTTGCTCATGTAACCAAACACCAGGCTCACTACACCCCGAGCGACAGATGAAGCACCCACATCCACGTCCAGCTGCAAAAGAAATTGCCAAGGCTTTTACAGGCATAGAAAAACTAACTATTACCTACCTCTAGGTAGTTTTTCCCATGAAAGTAGTGTAGATCTAACGCCTCTCCAATGAGACAGGCGGTTTTTCCAACGCTCTGCTTGACAATCCAAGAGCCCTGTGAACGACACATTAACTTTTGCAAAGGCCGGAGTGCGATAGAGCACTTATACCTCTGCTACGTGAGGGATGAGCTTAAAAGTTGAGCTACGGAATCTGTCACCTCCGTTCACAAACTTTTCCAGCAAGGGAATCTGATCGAGCGACTGTTTCAGCATGTAGTAAAAGACCAGGGAGTACGTCGGGGAGCCCGGGACCTGCGTCGAGAGAATCAGAATGGAGAGAGCTATGTAATATAGAAAGCACAAAACCTGAAGATTAACAATGAAGAAAAACGACCTGCCAAGCTTTCGAACTTTAGGCTTCTGCAAAGTTGATAAAGCTCAAAAGTGGCCAAAAAGATTTATGGACCACTACGCACCTGCATAAAGGTATTTTCCCGAGAGGCAATGTGGTCTTCCCGTTGGTTGGATGTAAACCAGTCGACTGCAACCAGCTGCATTAGCGTTTCCTTGGCCTTTACCTTCTTATTATCCCGTAAATAATTCTTTCCACGAATCAGGAAAGTGGACGGATCAGCCGCACTCCAGCTGCAGTAAAAGGACGACTTTGGAAGTGTGCCTTCGCGATCTAGTAATTCGGCGTCTCGCGAGGAGAACTCTGTTTGAGGTTGAGCTCCCTTTTTGTGAGCTGCGTTAAAACAAGTTTACCAGGAAATAAAAAATAAAAAATGATCGATGTTACCTGCTGCTGCAAGGGCATGTATGCGCTTGACAAAACTTGCGGTCTTTGAAAACTTGGGAAGCTATAATAAAAACAGGCAGGAGATATTACCTCGGCAAAAAGAAGGATACTTCCTACCGATTTAGTCTCAGGCTCAAATTCTTCGGTGCCTTCGGTCTCACTTACGGAACGCAGCATGTCATCGGGCAAATCTTCCTGATCGGAGTCGTCCGGAGCGTCAAAAAACTCGTCCGTGTCGTTCACCCGGAGGAATGACTCTTGCTCGTCGATATGAGCACTCTTTGGTTCCTGATCGCTGACGACGATCGCTCGTTCTTCATTTTCTTCCTTTTCTTCCTTGGCTGCTTGATCGTCGAATTCCCGAGAGGCATCCACCCACGTCGGCTCAATTACTTTCGCTTTATACAGTTCCCTCAAACCTGAAAGTTGAAAACGTCAGAATATCAGATTTTAACTAGAGAACATCACTGATACCAGCAATCCTCTCGAGCATGCGAAGCGTGATTTTCTGAACACGAGAAGGTTTGAAGTGAGATTTCCAGGTGTTCCAATCAATTTCCAACATGTGCCTGACAAGTGACCGTGCAGGTTGCTCTCCTTCACCGGTCAGAGGGGATATTACATAGCCGCCACCTGCAAGCACCAAAAACTAAACCCACCGTAGAAAAGTGTCGAATGTCGGCTCACTTTTTAATTTGGCCCGCACTGTTCCTGATCGTGTAGGGCAGTCCTTGCGGCTCACTGAACGATACAAAATTACTGCGAAAAGGAGGCAAGGACAGAGTATAGTATCCATGGTCAGAATAATTATCAAAAGCTTACCATATGAACCATCATATTCACGGCGCCAATATCTATGAAATAACAAATCTCGCCCGCGCATGTGTCTAAACTCGAAAGCATTATATTATATCAACAATGCAGCGACAAACTTACCCGGGGAGCCATTTTCTACGCAGCTGCTTGTGAACGATATCTGTATGACCATCTATGCGCTCCACAATTCGTCCCGTTGAGTAGCAAAAATCCCACCTGAGGATACGCACACTGTTGGGTCTGCAACCGCAAACACACACGTCTTACTCTGCGCGTGAATCTCCCAACGCCATAACGGTATCGAAAACGGACTCACAAGGTGCTTTTACAACTCCAACAGCCATAATCGCGGGATGGTCATCTGCAAACTGCACTCTATTGTTGAGCAAAGGCAGCAAGACTGCTGAATCTGCTGATCAAATATTGCTGGTACCTTACTTGTAAATCTCCCCTTTGATTTCGAAGACTCCCGGAATAACCTCAGGCCTGGTACATGGTTATCAGAACGTCCTCGGGAAGAAGTAAAGCCACTCACCATTCTTACAGCCAAGAATTTTCCAAGGCGATTCTGCAATGACGTCTCCTTGCTCCCTCATGGAAGTCCAAAAGCCAGTCCAATCAGGAACTTCTGTAGAGAAAGTAAAGAGTTACGTTAAACTGTCTTAGAGCATATCAATTACCTTGGCCTCCCTCTCGCCCTCGTTCAAAAAATCTGGGGAAGAGCCAGAATTTCGCATTAAAAATGTAACAAGTTGGCAGAAGAAATGGACAGGACGCACCTAAAATATGGCTTTCTTTTCGGAACTGCCAAGTTTTGCCTGAGGGGAGCTTGGCTCTAGGACAAAGGTCGGCATGTCTGTTAGTAAAACCGCAACGCGAGTCCATTTTCACCTTACACTTGCAGCGTCCCTAAAAGCGGACATCCATTTTGCTGCTTCTTCAGCAGTCCGTGCCGCGAGCTATAGCAAAGCATCTCATAAGCAAGTTCACAACCAACAAAGACCGAAGAACGAAAGAAAGAGGGACTCTCAAACCTTCATTTGTTGTTGATCAAAGCTTGGATCGGAGAGAGTGAAGGTATGCAAAACCTGTGCAAAATTCTTCCTCAGCCCAGCAGCAATGCAAGAGGAGAGAATAAAGGAAATCTCTCAATCACCTGGCCATGGATATTCTCCCTTCCATTGTCAACGACTTTAGTGTATGGCTGAATAACGCCCTTTTTCAAAGATTGCTGTAGAACAAGAACAATGCATCATCACAAGAACAAACTCACAAAACATTAATCAATCCAAGAGATAGAGAGAGAAGAGGAAATTTTACCTTCTCGCCATCGTGGATGGGCTTGGATTTGTAACAAGTAGCCTGGCGGCCCTCGAGAACGAAGTAGCGCTTCCTGGGGAAGCGGATCCTGAGCCTGTGAGGTTGGATTACATAGAGCCAGCCCTCAATTTTGGTAGAATCCATCGCCGCTCTCTCCCTCGATCCTTCTTGATCCTCTCGATCCTCGCCGCGCCAAGGGCAAAGCGCTGGCGCACCGACACGAGAGCTACACTACCTAGAGCTGGAATACCGCGTGAGGCGCTCCGCGAAATCTTTCTCGCCCGCCTCCATCGCCCGGGAGGGTTTTTTAGTCGTCGTAGGCGCAAGCTCGAGTCAGCAGCGAATCGAACTTTCAACGTGTCAAAAGAAGAAAAAGCCTAAAGGTGGCCAAAATTAAAAACTAGAAAATAGAGAACGCCGTTGCCGGGGATCGAACCCGGGTCGTCCGCGTGACAGGCGGAAATACTTACCACTATACTACAACGACTGGTCATGCTAGGTAGGCTACGTTGCAAGACATTTTTGTGATCTATAGTCGTAAAAGAGACCTCAAAATTCCTGGCTGTAAAGAAAGTTCTATAGTGTTTGGCATATCGTCAAGTCTATCGCGAAATGTTTTAGTGAGGAAACTTCTCTGCAAACATTTTCTTGACCTATGTTCTTCTTGATAGCACACACTCACCATTCTATTCATCCCCAAGAACTTAGGTGCAATGTTAAATAGAAGAGTACTTAATTCGTGAACAACAATGGCCGCATCATCTCATTGTCCTCGTGCTCCAGGAGATGACAATGCCACACATACCCAGGAGATATAGTCGGGTCAAACGCGAACCGGGTCGCCTCGCGCGGGCGGAAGGGCACGAAGAATCGTGTCACGAGGTTCGCCTTCACCAGCGCCGTGTCCTTCCATCCAAAGTGATCCACGTCCGGCGCCAGAGGATTCCCTGTGAAGCAGCTCGTCGGATCGAGAAACGGAGTATTGACGCTACACGCCCCCCGAATGAAGTTCGCCACATCGTAGTTCTGCTGATCCAGCGCGAAGAAATTGATCAAGTGGATGTGTATCGGGTGATCCCCGTTGGTAAAGGTGTTGACGAACTCCCAGATCTCGTTCGTGTAGAGCGGCACGATCTCGGTCACCGGGCTGCGGAACGTGCGGTTGGCGTCCGAGAAGATCGTCCCCACCGTGGGGTTGAAGCTGATCACGAACTGGCGGCGGCGGACGCCGGTCACGTTGGCGGCAGAGATGTTGAAGCCGGTGGTGGCGAGGATCGTCTCCGCAACCGTGAGGTTGGCCATGGCCGGATCGATCGTGTTAGATGGGAGCATTGCGTTGGACGGCGGGAAGCTTGTGACACGAAACATGAACACCGACTGGTTGTTTCCCTTGCCCGCGTCGAAGGCGGAGGTGGCGGTGTTTGTGATGGTTACGTTTTCTCCCACTCGCAAGCTCGAGAAATCGATCAGGACGTCGGCTCGCTCGGATGGACCCAGGTTGAGCGTCGTCTGCCGGACTGGAGTGGTCAGCAGCCCGCCATCGGATCCAATCTTGAAGAAGGCGAGGCTGGAGTGATTCAAGTTGAGGAGGAAGAAGCGCGAGTTCCCAGCGTTGAGGAAGTGGAAGCGATGGACGCCCCGCGAGACGTTCAAGTATGGCCAGATCATGCCATTGACGAGCATGGTGTCGCCAAAGTAGTCCGGGCACCAGTTTGGATGGACAGAGGCTGTCGGCGGGAATCCCAGGGTGGGATAGTTGATGCTGCCGTTGGGGAAGAACTGGCGATCCTGGAGGACCAAGTCGTGGATGAATGGGTTCTGGCTGCCATCGCTGTTCTCCCTGAGCGATCCCGGGAGCCAGGAGGGATCATCGTTTCCGATGATGTGATAGAGTCCCGCGAGGCCAGCGGCGACGCTCAAGCGCGTGTAGCCGAAGGAGTGATCGTGGTACCAGAGCAGAGTGGAGGGCTGCGCATTGTCGTACCGGAAGACGTTGGTGGTGAAATTCGGGCCTCGCTCGCCACCATTTGTGATCCAGGCATCCGGGTGGCCGTCGTAGGGGGGCGCGGTCTCTCCTCCGTGGAGATGGACGACGAGTGGAACTCCAACTCGGGGCTGGGCGCGGTCCAGCGTGGGATCGACAGCGAGCAAGTGATTGGCATCGGTGATGTTGTTCGACCAGCGCACGAAAGCTCGCTTGTTCTTGAATGCTACGAGGGTTGGGCCTGGCACCGAGGCTTGCGCGGAGGTTCTGCCAAAAGCGTACACGGTTGTGGGTGGTAAATCCCTGTGGAGTTTCTGGAAAATAGAAAACAAAGAAAGAACTTTCATGACGATTTGTGGCATAGTTTTTTACCCTCTGGACTTTGAATGCGCGGATGATGAGTGGCCTTGAGCTGCTTGTTCTGGTGAGATTGATTCTTCGCATAACTGGAACATGATCAACGAATCTTTCCAAAACAGGGGAGGCATCCAAGTTGAGGCACTGCTGCGTTGCATTCTGGGCTCCTGTGATTGCAAAGATGCAAGCTGCTACAACCGCAAGCAACACCAGTTTTTGGACCGCCATCCCAATCCACAGAAAGGAAAGAATGTGATCCTTAAATTTTAGGCTAGAGGATCCACGGTGGTTCATAGGATAAATCACTGAGAGTTACAGTCCTTTTGCGACTTGGTCCTCAAGTTTACGTGGAAGACACATGGTGTTTGAAAATGACGAGATAGCTTGCAATTTTTGAAAAGCTAAGAAATATGAACAAAGACTTCTTGGCAAGATGCCAGCTCTAGATAGACAGATAGAAATCGTGTGTAATAGTGGGGCATAGGAGTTGCAGAGGCGGTGAAATGGATGGAAGGCCCGGGGCGTTAGGTGAAATGGATGGAAGGCCCAGGGAGTTAGCAGCAAGGAAGCGTCCTTCTTGCGGCCTATAGTTATGCGACCGCAGCACTGTTAATTTCAAGTGCTAGGATGGTGCTAGTGACTTTATAAAAGGAGTTAGAAGCAGACACACAAACAACAATAACAAGCTTCCAAACTGATTAATCATAATAAGTACGTAACCAACATTCTGAACTTGTTTTATAAAGTGTTTTGATGTTTTGTGTGTGTGTGAACATAGCTATTTTCAACGCGTGCTCGAACTGGCACGATTGAAAAGATAAATCTATCAGAATGGGATTCAGCTAGAGAAGGAGAAATCTAGCCACAATCAGCTGTGCTCACGACTACGCAGAAAATTCCCTAGTGGAATGGGAATTGTGGAAGATGCGATAAAAAATTTCAAGGGAGTTGGAGCAAATCCACAAATACAATCCAATAAAGTAAGGTCAAAACAGAGGGAGCTGTTGATGTTTTCATGCATAGGGGAGGAAGGTTTTCATTGCGACGTTCGGGGCTTGCATTGACGTGGGAGAGACATAAGTTGGACATGTAGTGAATGGTAAGGTAGTAAACAAAGCAACTAGGAAGAGAGAATGAGAGAAAGAGCCGATAAAAAGCGGAGCAGTGTGGTTCCTCCAGAGAAGAAGGATGGAAGATGACAAACCACAGTACTCTTAGAGCACTAAAGAATCTAACTCGCCATAGAGCTCTTCAAGCGTATGGAAGCCAAAGGCTTTGTGGCATCGATCCAACAGGACTAAGAAAACTTACATCCTTGTTTGTTCTTGAAGAACATTTCAACTCCACCATGCAAGCTCCTGGAAACTTGTGCACGGTTCCTGGCCTTTAGAAAACAATACTTCCACAAGCATTGCATGTTGCTTTTGGTTCCAGCACCCAAAGCTGTAATTGTTTAAAATATTTAGCAATATGCATTGATAATATATAATAACAAACTGAGTTTCAAATCATGCACTAGGTTTGTCTTTTAATTTATATTGTAATATACTTCTTAGCATACGTGTGTAACACCTAATGAGGGTAGGTGCTTATTTAGATTGCATAGCATCGGGCGTAAACTTCCTATGTTAATGATGTTATTTTCAGAAGTTTAATGACTTTATTTAAGGTTTACATGGTTTTATTTAACATGTTAGTGTGAATCCTTTTAACTTGGAGGATAATATGAAGTTTTAAAATGTCAGAATTTCAATTCCTACCGTTTAACATGCATCAAAAATAAAATTTCCATGAATTTAAGAATGCGGGAATATCCTAGAATGTACTTAGATATTCTAGGTATATTCTTTACATGCAATTCATTAAGTAATGTATTAAATATGTAAATCTAAATGTAAAATGCTGAAATGAAATACAAAAACTAGAATCTATATTAATTTTGTTTCCTTATATAACTGTAATATATTTGTAAAAAACAATTTATGGTAAAGAAATATACTATAATAAGTTTTTGAATAGACTATATTTTAAAGTTTCAAATTAAATATTTTTTAAATGATATGCTTTAACACTTGTTTACAAATGTAATATAATTATTTATTTTATGAACAATTCTATAGTAAAAATATATATTTAAATAAGTGTTTGAACATGTAATATCAATTTTATTAAGAAACATAAAATTATTCAAATTTATTTAAATAATAATTATATGGTAAAGAATTATATTATAAACAGTATTTGAACATATAATATCAAATGTTATAAGAAAAATAAAATCATTTAAAACATCTTTACATCCAATTTTAGCACTAACATCCATCAAAAGTGTTGAATTTTTAACAGCTTTGAAGAAATATATTTTAATTAATTATAAAAATAGCTTTTTTTGTTTTACTTTATTATCATTTACAAAAATCAAGTTCAATATCAAATTTTATAATATAAATCATAATTATTAACACCTTTTAAAATTTATTATATGAATTAGTTTTATTTTATTTATATGTCTTCTAATTATTTCAAATTTGTCTTCTTAATATGATAAATTTATTAAGAAATTTGAAATTTATATTAATTTTATTATGCAAATGATGGTTTTATTTACTTAAAAGTAACTGATATCTTTAAAAACTAAAAAATTCTGAAAACTTCAACCAATAAAGAACTTTTTATTAATTTATAGTTTTCATTTCATTTTGAAATCAATTAAATGCTAAACACTTACTATTTCACAATTCCAAAAATGAAATAATTTGCAATACTATACAAGAATAGTTTTTTTGTTTTGGTTCTTTTAATGAAAATGAGTTATTCATATTTATACAAAATCTATTTGCTCAATCACAAATTTAGCCTATAAAAACAATTGGAAACTGGAGTTTAGAAAACTGAATGTAAATCTTGTCAAGCTAGCTTTACTATTGGGCATCTTGGGATATTTAGTTCTGCAAATTGACAAAATAATTTATTATCTCAATTTCTTGTGCGTAAACACATAACACTACATAATCACAATATGCAAATGTATGCTGAAATCCAAGTTTTAGTAAGGATTCACATCAAGATGTACCTCAGGTTAGAGAGAGACTTGCTTGCTTGATGTTTACAGAAATACTAAGCATATGGATCAATCACAACGATCACTTTAGCACTTTTATGAGAAAATAAACTCTTTGCAAATACTTGAAAGTGGCAAGGCTCCATTGATTCTTTTAAACATTGGAGCTGTTCATTGGAGTTCACAGCAATCCAAGAGGTAGACACACACATACAAATGAAGTACTAGAAAGAAAGAAATCAAGAAATGGTAGAAAAAAAAAAATGTCAAAAGGAAGTAATTTTTTATTGAGAGATCCCTAAGTTGAAATATTAGAAGATTGAGTTATGTAAGCCTACTGCCTCTAATGAATGACTCTAGCCCTAGTGGAAACTAATACTAGATTCATGACCAGAATCAAAATCTTGGTGCCTCCTATGGGTGAAGCTCCTATGGGCTTTTCTAGATTTCCTTTTTGGTTTGCTTAAGCAGAATTGTAAGTGACTGAAATGATAGTGGATATACCTAGAATATGTTTAGATATTTTCGGATATTTTAAAATTTAATGGTTATTATTTATCTAGATTAATCTTTTATTTATAATTTATAAACATATTTAGAATGTATAAAATTTTCTAAACTTTCTAGTACATTCTAGTATATTCTACTATCTAATGGTAATCTTATGTTTATATATTATAAACATTTATAAAATTATATTTGATCAATTGGATTAATAAATAGGAATAACACTACTATTGAGCAAACCAAAAATGCACAGCAATGTTTTTTTATTTTTAGTTTCTTGCATTAAATTTTGGTTTTGAATTGAACTAGTGGTCTTCATACATTACCAGCTTAAATCATCTCTAAATGGATTGTAAACTTTTCTTGCTATAACATTAGTGGTAAACAAGATTATTAATAATAAATATTGATTATAAATGAATTAGGGAAGAGTTAAGAGCATAAAATCACAACCGTTGGATTAAAGAATATTTTAAATATTCTTGACTAACCCTGAATCATAAATTTAAAGAACAATCTTAGCAGAAAGAGCCGTAGAATTTTCATTTATCTTCGTCAGGTCTTCATGCCACTTCCTTTACTTTCGTAACTCGCGGCCAAGCAGCCCGTGTTCGCTCAGAGAGATCTTCCAGCCAGCTAACAAAATCCCATTTTATACCCAGATCTAGCAGAATTATTTGTGTTCGCTCCTCATATTCTTTATGGAACATTTACATCACTTGTTTATAAGGAGGAAAGTTAGCATCGAATTTACAAAGATGTGATGAACAGCCAGTCAGACAAGGAACAGACTACCACTCCCCGTTAGATTAGAGTCCACATCGACCGTTCCTCGTTGTCCTACGCTAGCTAGCACCGACTAAACAAAGCCCAAAACCAAAGCTGTGTGTATTCCACTGAGAAGTTCTTCCAGCCCCTCCCCAAGTTACCCAAAATTTTTCCAGCATCATCACCCCAAAGCTGCTATCTGCCTGCAGGATCCAGTAGTAGACTTGGGAGTAGCCCAGGAAAGCCTGTTTTGTCACCACAAAGTCTCCAGGAAATCACCAAACCTGGTAGCGACACCGCCACGGAAGGATGAATCATGGATCCAAGTTAGCTGCTGAGCGGATCACCGATTCGATCAAGCGGTCAACCCCGGTCGATCTAGCAAGGCCAAAGTTTTTGCCTGTTTGAGGCAACCCAACTCAAAGATCACGATCACTCAACAAAGTACCTCCGACAAGAGCCTGTACCGTCTCCCAACACCGGCTTTGGATGGAGAGAACTGGAAACCGTGGCTATAGCCCGGGCTCATCGGTGGCTTCGAGTGACCTGGGGTAGCAGCGTTGCAAGTGGGCGATTTTAGCTTGTGGTGGTGATGGCTCTTGAGAAGCTCCTGCTGTTCCTGGTGATGATCCTGCTTGGACATGTCCAGATCTGAGCACCTCTTCCTCTTGTGGACCAGCGGCTTGGGCTTGATCTCTCTACCTGGGGGAATCACTACATTTGCCTCGCTACACGGCGATCCTTCCTTCCTGGCCTGCTTCTTCACACTAAACTTCTCTAGGTTCTCCGCGGCCTGCAGTAGGCAATCCAGCGGGCTCTGGACGCTCGACCGTGTGGCGGTCACACTGCCGGGCGCCTTGAATCCATCAACCGCCTGTTCCTGCTGGTGCCCATCTCTATCTCTCCTCGGCTGCTTCGATACACACCAGTCGCACATCATCTGGCTGGAATCCGGCGGCAACTTGGGGTACAAGCTACTGCAGTACCTGGAAGAACAAGAAACCAAACCGTAATCTCTCGAAATTTCCTTCTAGCGATGGATTTACCTGTGCTGGTAGCGCTGCCGGCACGACGAACAGCGGAAGAGCTCCTTCTGGAATCCAACATCGCCGCACATACTGCACTCCTTGCCGCTAGGCCGACAATGCCTGGCCGCCTGGTGCTGCTGATGCTGCCGCTGCTGCGGCCGCTCCATTGCGCTCCCTCGATCCGAGGGATTCCACCTACGAAACCCTCGCTCCAAAATCCCGCGGCCAAATCACACGCCTCTAGATCCCAAACCCCGCCGCGGCTTGTGCGCGTGGGAATCCGATCCCTATCGCGTCGATTCCCTGGAAAAAGACGCTCGATTCCTGAGAGATCGCCAAGAACAAAAAATGCGAGTCACTAAACACACGAGAGAACAAGATCAGCACAAAAACAAAACAAGCGGCCTTTATATATTCAATCGTTCGTAGCTCACACTCATACGCCGTATTATCGAATATTCGTCTCCCAGACTGACGGGTTGGAAATTTCTAGAAGGTCGCAGTGAGATAAAAGCCGGCACGTCATTGACGTGCTATACGGTGTCCGAATCCTCCAATTTGTGACCGCCCGTACATTTAAGGCCCAAAAGCTCAAAATGTCGGTTGATGGCCAAGTGGCGTCATCACATCCACTAGAAAAATGACAGGTGGCAATGACCAATACGTGCTACGTGGCGTACGGGCCCGGTTCGCGAAAGGAACATTCGCTGATTAGCTTTATTGGATTCCGTTGATCGTGACCGTTCGCGGTCTAGGGCTCTTGGCAATGAGGCTCAACTTGGAATTCAAGTAAGCGCGGTTTTGAGTTGTGCGGGGTTGTCAATGTGGGCGCATTCCAGGGGAGGATTGGAGTTACTGTTTGGATCTGTCAAGTGCCACGAAGTGGATTTGGATTCGAACGAGGTAGGAATCGAAACTTTTGAGTCTTTGGCCACCAAGTTCTTCCTTTGTAGATCACAGTCGAGAAGCTCCTGGTTTGGATTCGAGAAAATCTGCTCAAGGAGAGACAAGAGATGTTCCTCAAAGGCAAATCCGTGTGAGTTTCTCACTGCTAAACTCTCGCTTGGATTCTCACGGTTGCATTTCTCCAGGAGGCCCGGAGTTCTCGTTTTGATCAATGACTACGACTGGGAGCTCATGGGGCATTTGGAAGCGCCCATCAAGGACAAAGACAGTGTAGTGTTCATCTCGACGCTCCACGGAGGCTAGAAAACTCCTCCTTTGTTTTCCCTGATCTTAACATGGGTGAATGGGCCATGCAAAGTTCTCCATCTCTCCTCACCACGTAGAACGATTCGTCCACTCCTCGACGCGGCAATCATACTCGCACTACGCCCAGATCATCAAGTCGTGCGCCACGGTCCAGGATCTCCTGCGCGTCCACTCTCAACTCGAGCACAACTCCTGCAATCTCGTCGCGAATCTCCTCATCGACAAGTATGGCAGATTCGGCTGCGTCGCGGAGGCCAAATTGGTGTTCGACGCGATCGCCCAACCGGGAATTCACTCGTGGAACATCATCACGGCAGCGTATGCCCGAAATGGGCATCTGGATCACGCCGCGCGGCTCTTCGACGTCATGCCGCGGAGGGACGTTGTGTCGTGGACGTCGCTCTTGTCAGGATTTTCGCAGTACAATTGTCCCGGAGAGGCCATCCGAGTTTTTCTCTCGATGCCTCAGTGGGACGTCGTCGCGTGTAATCCTGCCATTGCAGCTTATGCCCAATCTGGGCATATTTTCGATGCCGTTGAAATCTTTGCACGAATGTCTTACAGAGACATTGCGTCGTGGAACGCAATCCTTGCAGCTTACAGTGAGTCTTCTCAGGTCTTTAACGTTAACGCTTTTTCAGCGCTGATGCCAATGTGGGATGCCATCTCGACAAACACTGTTCTTACAGCAAATGCCACAGCCGGGTATCTCGAACGTGCGAAGTGTATCTTTGATCGTTCGAGTTTTCGAGATGTGATTTCCTGGACAGCGCTTGTTCAGGCCTACACTCTTAACGAAAACATGGATCATGGGGACTTGGTGTTTCGAAAGATGCCACATTGGAACTCAATTACTTGGAGCATTCTCACCACAGCAAATGCCCAACAAGGGGATGTTCTTGCAGTGAAAAAACTATTTGTCACCGCTCCATTGCGCGACGAAGGAATGTGGACGAACCTCATCACAGTCCTCGCATCGACAGGAAAGCTTGCCGATGCCGTCGATTCAATGTCCCGGATTCCGGAATGGAATGTCCTGGTAATGACGACTCTGATGACGGCGTATTCCGGTGCGGGAAGAGTCCGGGACGCGAGGAAGGTTTTCGATGCCATCCATTGCCGCGACATTACGTCTTGGAATGCCATGGTTGCAGCTTTCTTGCAAAACGACGAGCTCGAGAATGGGACTAGCGTTTTCTGGCAAATGCCGCAGCACAACGTCTGCTCGTGCACGGCGGTTGCGGCCGCGCATGGCGATGCGGGCGATCTCCACTCGGCGGAGGTAATCTTCGCCGCCATCCCGGAGAAGGACACTGTGGCCTGGAACGCGATGATCTGGGCTTACGTCTCCAATGGGGATCTCCAGACGGGCAAGGCGATCTTCGATTCCATGCCGCGCAGGGGCTCCAGCTCCTGGGACACGATGATCGCAGCCTTCGCCCAGGGAGGAGAGATCTCTCTGGCGAGCGAGACCCTGGTCAAGATCCCCAGATCAAGCGTTCTCTCCTGGACGTCGCTCCTCGCCGGGCATGCCCAGGCCGCCGAGCTCGACAAGGCCATGGCGGTCTTCCACGCTATGAAGCAGCGAAACGACGTAAGCTGGAACGCTGTTCTCGCGGCGTATGCTCAGGCCGGGGAGATCGAGGACGCGCGGGCGATCTTCGCCAAGATGCCCCAGCTGGGCATTGCGTCATGGGCGGCGATCGTCGTCGCCTTGGTGAGAAACCGCGACCTCGCCTCCGCGAAGGCGGCATTCGATGGAATGCCCGAGCACGATGTCTTTGCCTGGAACTGCCTCTTGCGGGCATACGCCTCCAACGGCTTTGTGGCGGATGCCCTAGACCTCTTCAGCCGAATGACCGTTAAAAACCCAGCGTCCTGGGCCGCCGTACTCGCCTCGTGCGCCTACAACAACATGGGGCGAGACGCCGTACGGCTCTTTCGGCTCATGGTGCTCGACGGCCACCGTCCGGACGGTACGGCATTCTCGGCTGTGCTGACGGGCTGCGGCCACGCGGGCATGCTCGAGGAGGGGCGGCGGTACTTTTGGGCCATCTCCGAGTCGTACGGCGTGACGCCCGCGGTAGAGCACTACAGCTGCGTCGTCAACCTGTTGGGGCGGTCGCGGCGCCTGGCGGACGCCGAGGAGCTCGTCGACTCCATGCCGCTGTGCCCCCACGTCTCGACGTGGTCCGTGCTGCTCGGCGTGGCGGGGATATCCGGTGACGTGCGCCGCGCGGAGCGTGCCGCCGAGGAGATCGCGCGGCTCAGCCCCTGCGCCCACTCGCCTTACGTGCTCCTCTCCAATGTGCTCAGCTCGGACGGATGATCCATTAAAGAAGGGTTTAAGTCGGGTTTTAAAAAAATTAAAGATCATAATTAACTATGAAGAATGATAACAAACGTGGATAGATCTAGCGAGCTTCCACTCAGTTTTAGCCAAGAATGATATAAAACGTGGATAGATCTAGCCAGCTTGGAAATTGCTAATGATAAAGTATATTGTTAAATGTAATACTTTTATATCATCATGTCTGAATTTAAAATTGTGAACTTAGTGGAACACAATGAGGTATGATCGTGGAAGAAAGAACCATCAATTCGTTTTTCTTCCAGCTCTAACGGACTTGGATAGATTTAGCCAGCTTCCACCTATGGATTGGAAAGCACAACTAAGTTTTAGCTGACAACGCGTATCCAAAAGTTACCAAGTTACTCTTACCAAGTATCCACCGCCGGATCCCTGGATCCAAGTGATCGAGATACAGTGTACACTAGCAGAGAATCTCCCCCCTACGGTTAAAAGGACGAGCGAGTCACTGTAAAAAGAAAGGAAGATATTCGTAGCACAGCCGAGAGATGGTTCCATTTCGAATGGGTGACGAGTGAGCGAGTACACGTACACACCAGCGATTAGTACGGCAATGATAAGCGCCACCTTTGTTTGAAAGAAAGCTTGTTTGTTCTTACCTGGAGAGAGAGAGCTTCTTCCCAGTCCGTTGCATTTGGAAATCCGGTTGATGATAGCAAATCGGTGTCGCTGTCCAGGCAAAGAGCAGTCAGTTTGGCGGTATATAAGAAACGAGAACGAACTTTGTCTCCGCTTAAGTTACCTCCAGTGTTGGCTTTGCTCTCGCTCGTCTTGTTCTTGTCTCTCTTCTTCCAGCTCCTCGTCGGGAAGAAGCGAGCGAGCGAGCGATGGAGGCTTGCGCCTGTTCTTACTCGCTCCAAGCTGTCGTCCATGGCGAATCGTCGAAGATTTTCTGTTGCTGTTCTTGTTCTCCTCCTCCTCTTGTTTCTCCTCCTCCTTCCCCTGGCTTCGCTCACTTCCCAGCATCTGTTCTTGGTGTTCTTGAGGAGCCCCAGGCCCAGGAAGTCGATTTTGATTGCTCCAGCGAGTTCTTCCTCGTCGACCAGTTACTGGCTGCTACTGCGTCGTGCTCGGCGGATTTCTGCTCGTTTCTTGATTCTGCTGCTACTGAGCTCGCCACCGTCTGCTACTCCAGCTTCACGGGCGATTCCATCGCTTCCACGGACGGTGACGCAGTGATCGGGCACGAATGCTGGAAGGAACTGCTCAAAGAGGAGCAGCAGCCTCCGCAGAAGGTTGAGCCAGAGCCAGTGAAGGCGGAGCCTGGGAAGACTGAGTCCCGGCAAGGCGATGATCCGGTGGTGCAAGACGATGATCCGGTGGTGGCAGACGACGAGCAGCTCAAGAGGTACGTGAAAGTCCTTCCATCTAGCTGCTCTCGCGCTTGCTCAGCATATTCTTTGCTCATCTCGTGCTAGGAAGTGGGAATTCCAGGCCGGGCTTAAGCGTGCGCTCAAGAACAACCAGGTCATCGACGTCGATGCTCTGGCAGAGGTCAAGGTGAGCAGCGTATAGTTAGTTTGCTGGGAAAGAAAGAAAAAAATCGAAGCTTACCTTGAATTATTGGAGCAGACAGAGAAGGACGAGAACGAGGACAGGCTTCCAGGCCTCCGAGAGTATATCGGGAAGAGGAGCTGCGAAGAAACTGAGAACAGCATTTGCAAGAGAGTCAGAAAAGCCCACTCGAACGATGCCGCTCTCGTGGATGCTCTACGACTGAGAAACGCAAGAATGGAGTTACCAGAGGCTGTCCGGGGCTTCCAAATCGAGGAGGCCGATATCTACGCGACGCATCCCGCTTTCCTACTGCGAAATTCTCCAGGCGAGTTCTAGAAAATTTCTTCTTTGAGATAGTTTTGATCGATCTTACTGTGCCTTGTTTCCAGGAGGAACGCGATATCTCTTCGCGAGGACGAAGTACTCCTCACGGCCGGCGCGATCGAGAACGACACTGGATGGATGCCGCTGGAAGCAGCAGGGCCCGTCCCTGCCGATCAAGATCGACGACGAAGTCGTGGCATACAAGACCTACCTCAGCTTCGTGCCGCTCAAGGACCACGAATCCTACGCGCCGATGCTCTGCGCCACCAACCTAGCCGGATTCCTGCTGCGGCGAGCGGCGAGATTGCGGAGATTTGCGCGCTACACCATGGAAGAGATCGTGCTCAAGGAAGACCGCGAGATGGAGCTGCGCAAGCTCAAGAAATGCCGGATCCCTCGCCCCTTTCGTGTGCTGTGTAGAATCAGCACCCGGCTGCCCGGCCATTCGTGGCTGTGAGGCCGAGAAATCGAATTCCTCTTTCCCTCGCGGTGGAAGAACCCTAAACTCTCGAAGGTGCTGGGGAGGGGAATCGAGCCCGCGACGGCTCCTCTAGTCACCACGTGGTCAACTCCCATTGCTCCGGGCATTGTGGACCTGGTCCAGCTCCGCCACGCCGCCCTAGGCGACAGGAAATGCGAGGGAGCGATGCGCGGCTGATCCATCAGGTACTTCCAGCGCGATTCCATCGTCCCAGGGATTAGGGTTTAGATCCTCCGGCTCCATGGCGAGCGACGCGCAAGAGCCGGCCAAGCGCGCCGAGATCTACACCTACGACGCGAACTGGCCGATCTACGCCATGAACTGGAGCGTGCGCAAGGACTCGCAATTCCGGCTGGGGATTGGCAGCTTTCTTGAGGATTACAGGAACATGGTCCAGATTGTGCAGCTGGACGACGAGAAGAACAAATTCGTGGCGGATTCCCGGCTGTGCTTCGAGCACCCCTACCCGACCACCAAGCTCATGTTCATCCCGGACAAGGAGTGCCAGCGGCCGGATCTAGTGGCGACCTCGGGCGATTTCCTGCGGATATGGCAAGTCGGGGAGGACAAGGTGGAGCTCAAGAGCTTGCTCAACAACAACAAGAACAGTGAGTTTTGCGCGCCGCTCACTTCCTTCGACTGGAACGAGCTCGAGCCCAAGCGCGTAGGAACTTCGAGCATCGACACTACTTGCACGATTTGGGATATAGAGAAGGAAGTGGTGGACACTCAGCTCATCGCCCATGACAAGGAAGTGAACGACATCGCCTGGGGCGGAGTCGGGGTCTTCGCGTCCGTCTCGGCCGATGGCTCCGTGCGAGTTTTCGATCTCCGGGACAAGGAGCACTCGACGATCATCTACGAGAGCCCCCAGCCGGACACGCCGCTGCTGAGACTCGGGTGGAACAAGCAGGATCCGCGCTACATGGCCACCATTTTCATGGACAGCGTCAGGGTGGTGATCTTGGACATCCGCCTGCCGACGCTCCCGGTGGCGGAGCTCCAGCGGCACCAGGGGACCGTGAACGCCATCGCTTGGGCTCCTCACAGTTCCTGTCATATTTGCACCGCGGGTGACGACTCCCAGGCGCTGATCTGGGATTTGTCAAACATGAGCCAGCCGATAGACGGGGGCCTGGATCCGATTCTAGCTTACACCGCGAAGGCCGAGATCAACCAGCTGCAGTGGTCGTCTTCCCAAACAGACTGGGTCGCCATCGCGTTTGCGAGCAAGCTAGAGATTCTTCGAGTCTGAGAGGGGAGAGAAGAGGTGAATCGTCCAGCTGCTGTAGTAGAGTATAAGAAGCAAAGGTATGCTGGTTTTTTTCTCTCTTTTCTGTTTAGCATGGGATTTTGCTGCTCGCCCAGTTGAGCCCCTTGACGGGGAGCCGGATGAGAATCATAGCAAAGTTGGCGATTGCTAAGCAGAAAGCACAGGATGGGCAGACGCAAGCGACCAAGTTCCTGGAAGAACAAGGAAAAAAAAAAAAGAGATCTCATCTCAAAGAATAGTTTTTTTTTTTGTTTTTTGAGCAAAGCTTACCCGATCAACCATACAAACATTCCCACCAGGGAGAGCAAACATCCCAAAGCTCCAAGTATTCCTCCCACAATGCAGGCGACTGGACCCATGAAGCTTCTTTTGTGTCGTTGGCGTGAGAAGTGGAAACTACCAGTCCACGTCAGCCGTCCGCGTGGCCGCCACGGCAGACGTTATCTTTGTCCGACGTGGCAGGGGCGCGCGGTCCCTGCGGTGGACGTGCGGCTGGTAATCATCCAGCCGCGCGGTTTGCTGCGCAGTAGCACACGTGGTTTGCTATTTGATACAAGAGCCCTAAAAATCAATCGCTCGCGGGAGAGAAGCTGGGCTATGGCGGCGTGTGATTTGGGCCCCGGTATGTCGATTGGATCTCTCTAGGCGCTCGTTGGTTGCTTCGCTCGACTACAATGCCTCTGGTTGCGAATTCGCTGTCTGCGCCTTCGATTTGCGGTGCCCAATTCCAGCGCCAAGCCTGCGCGCCATCGACCTCATCGGCATCGACAGTGGCATGCTCTTCACGGCACAAAATCTCATCCAGAACAGTGCCGTCGATCACGTCTCAGCCTCGCCGCCGCAGGGCAGGGCTCGCAATCTGCGAGATTGCGGTGGGGCGGCAGGGCGCAGCGGCGGCGGCGGCGGCAGCGGCGGGCGTGGGATCGAGGATCAGAGTGAAAGGGCCGCTCAAGGTGTTCCATGTTCCCAAGAATCCAGAGTTTGATCTTGGTGGCCAGGAGGGAGAGGTGAAAGAGGTTCTCACGAGCTGGAAGGGGAAGATCATCTCCGCGAATTTGCCATACAAGACCCAGTTTGCGCTGAGCATCGACGGCAAGGAGGTGAAGCTGATCGCCCATCTGCGGGAGGACGAATTCGAGGTCATCGGATGATTGAGAGAGATCGAAGCGAAGAATTTGTGAGCGAATTCTTTTTGCTCTCGTTTGAAATAATATCCAAAGGGTTTAACGACAAGAATGTAGGGTTCTTGTTCTTAGGGCTCTTGTTGTGTTGATCGATGGCGCTCGCTGCGGCTTCCAGAGCTGGAGACTTGGATAATCTCTGCGTGCTGTTGAAGGTACTGGCAGATCGATTCGCAGATCGATAGAATTTGTGTGATTTCTAGGCCGGTGCCGATCCGAATGCGAGAGATAAACGAGGGAAGACTGCGCTTCACGAGGTGCTGCTGCTGATTTCGACGGCCGATCGATCGGATTTTCTTGCAGGCTTGCTCGCAAGGGCATGACAAATGCGTGGAGGCGCTCTTGAGAGCGGGAGCATTGGTATCGGCGCACAAGACAAATGGATTTACGCCTCTTCACTACGCCGCCGCTACTGGTCGAGCTTCGATCATCTCTATTCTTCTTGCCAGGTATGTGATTCCAATCTTTCTTTTCAGCCTCCTAGCTAGTTTATCTAGTTTTGGTTTCAGTGGAGCAAACGCTTGCGATCGCGATCACAAGGGCGAGCAAGCAATCCACCTCGCAGCTCGGGGTGGATTTGTTCCGGCAGTGGAAATTCTTCTCGCTCATGGTGCTTCTGGCAACGCAGCAAGTAACAATGGTCGCACCAGGTACTTTCAAGGTTCTCTTGGTGGTGGTTTTTCACGAAAGAAAAGAAACTCACCGTTTCTTGCTGGTGAAGGCTAGCAGTGTTCATACGGCGTCTCTCCATGGACACGAACTTGTTCTGCGGCTTCTCTTATCGTCCGGAGCTGATCCGGCAGCCTGCGACACTGGAGGCTCTCAACCCATTCATGATGCTGCTGCCGGTGGCCACGTCGGTTGCATGGAGCTCCTGACGCAATTTGGAGCGGATCCAAATGCCAGTGATTGCGCGGGCTGTACTCCTTTGCATCGGGGTTCATCCGCTGGCGAGGTTGACGCTGCTCGATGGCTACTTAAGGTATGAATCGAGAACTTCACAAAGAGCTTTTCTTCTCAATCTATATGTTTTTGGTTTTGTAGCAGAAGGGTGTTGATGCGAACTGTCGAGACAACATCGGATCGACTCCTTTGTACTGGGCTGCGAGCCGTGGACGTGCCGATGTTGTGGCTCTTTTGATCCGCGAAGGCAATGCTGATCCCTCCGCGCCAAATGCACACCGATCTCCACTTCATGTTGCGGCAGGCAAGCCTTTCTAACTTTCTATCCTCCATGAGTCATCAGTGTTGTGGATCCCCCCAGGCTGGAGGCATTTGAGCGTCTGCGATGAGCTACTCAAGGCCGGAGCTGATCCATTGGCAGTCGACAGGGAGGGACTCACTGTTCTTCAAGTTGCCAAGACTGACGACGTTGCGAAACTTCTTGACGAGGTATTCCTTCATTTTTGTCAAAGTTTTCCTATCGCAGTTCGGCAGGAACTGGTTGCGTCGAGATCTTGAGCGCCGACCTGTGCCTTTCCAGAGGAGCTTGTCTATTTGCTCACTCACGAAGTGGAGGGCTGAGAGTTTTAAGTCTGGACGACACCAATATGATCTGTGGGGCTTAAGTCTTCTCAGGTACGCAACGCAATATCTAGGCAAAGTGCGCCACCCATTGAGAAAAGTCAAACGCTTTTCAAGAGATCGAAGGAGCAAACGGGCAAAAGTCTTTACACAAGCCAATGATTTCTAAACAGGCTCTAACGATCGAAGAGACAAGGTTTTCTAAATGAGTAAATGGATGGAACGAAAGGCTGGCCTTTGCAATCCGACTAGAGATTAACAATTGTCTCATTTGCAACTCTATCAACTTAAATCTTTGTCCCGTCCCGCATGTAAAAAACAGGACACGCAAGCCCTAGAAATGATTCTTGGGTGAGCAACCAACGGTCGGCTCACTGACAGCTGTCAGGCGTCCCCACGTCAGAGGAACGGTCATAAAAGAATTTGACCACCGGTGATGACGGAATATGCTCCAACGGTTCCCTCAAGCTGGAGCTGAATATTCCCCTCGACATACTTCTAATTTTTATGTTCTCCGTGTGGCTCTCTGGCCGGCGCGTCTTTAGGCTAATTTTTGCTTTCTTCATTGCTTCGTCTTCCTTCTCGCGCTTTGATTGATGATCTTTTTGGCGCCTTCGCGTGTCCCGGGGGATTATCCGCCGCCGCGATTCTTGGCCACGGGAGGATAGGCGGAGCTGCCGCGATCGCGATCCAGGCGCAGGTTTTCTCTGGGGAAATCTCCATTCGCATTGCGATTCCGCAGGATGTCGACGAAAGATCTCGACAGGGAGCAAATGAGCTCCGCATCGGAAAAGAGGGCTTCCGTGTATGCGGGCTGGATCTACCATGTCGGGAGTAACTCCATGGGGTACCAGTTTTGCAATCCGCGGTACCTCGTGATCAAGGGGAAGTATGTGGAGATGTATAAGCGCGATCCCAATGATTTTCCCAGCAAGGTAGATGGATTGTATATTTTTTTGCTATAGAATTAACGTTTTTTGGTGGCCAGAAACCCATTAGAAGGGGCGTGGCTGGGAAATTTACAATGGTGAAGGAAATTGGGAGGCAGATTATCCATGGCCGGGTAAGCAAAGAAGCTTTCAAAGTTCGTCGGCTTGAAACTTCGTTGTGAAAACAGGTCCTTTATGTGCTTAAGATCTATAGTCGAGTTGACCATGGCAAACATGGTGAAGTAAGTTTTCTTTTCTCTTTTTCCACGTCTTGTGCGAGCTCGACTGAGTTCTTTCTTTCAGATTGCTTGCACCAGCGCTGAGGAAGTCGAAAAATGGATGTCAGCATTCCGTCACGCCAAAGAGGAGGTATGTCAAGAAGGTTCATCTGAATCTTTAGTTCATCGATGTGTTTTGAGCAGGCGGAGTATGTATCGAACAAGCTAAGCTTCATAAACAATGAGACCGAGTAAGCATTGATTGATGCTCTTCTACGATCTCTAATAGCGGAGGATTTTTTTCTCAGGTTTAACGTAAACGGGCCACGATACCACTCTAAATCGTATCTGAGCAAACTTATTTACATTGGACGAGGTAGCTTTTGTTGTTTTGAAAGGAATCAATCTCATCATGGTTTCTGTAGGTCCCGAGTCCTTGCTGCGCCGCCCCTCGATGGTCGCACAGGATCCTCTGCCAGCAGTTTCGTACACTAAGCAAGCTGGTGATGCTGTAGAGCAGACTGATTGGAGATGCTTTCGCACCGTAAACGGTACGTACAGGTCTTAACCAAATCATTTGTGGACGCCCTTAAAAAATGGATTCTTTCTGTCTCCAGGCTTGAGAATCTTTGAAGACGTCAAGGTAGGTTGTATACAACCGACTCTATCGAGAATGAACTGTTTTTTATTTTGCGTTTGTGCCGCAGTCCGAGAACGGGGCCATAATGAAATCTGTTGGCGTAGTCGAAGCAACGCCAGAAATGATATTCGAGATGATCATGACTCTGGATATTTCTTTGAGGCATCAGTAAGTCTTTGAATTCAATTGCTCTTTCTTTTAAGCCAAGTTGAACCTCCTTATCAGGTGGGACACCTTGACTGGGCAATTGGAGCTTGTGGAGCACATAGATGGGCATACGGACATTGTGTACGGGACGTTTGATCCTAAATACTTCAAGAGGTTGGTTTGTTTTTTTCCAAATCGTAAGTTGCAAAAACGTGTTTTTCTCGTTTTAAAGGTGGAGCAGCCTCTTTAGCTATAAAAGATATTATGTGTTCTCTCGCTATTGGCGTCGGCATCAGGACGGCTCTTACTGTATATATTTTTACCATCTGTCTATGCTAATTCTAATTGCTACGCGTGTTTTGCAGACATTACACAGATGGAAGTTTCTCACAAAGGGGCTCCTCGTAAGCCCGGGTACAGAAAAATCACACTTAATCGTAAGAAGAGATTTTCAGCTTTACTTGACATTCGTGTGGTTTCTTTAGCTGGAGTGTGGGAGATTACTCCCCTCCCATCGAAACCAGGAACTGGGACTCCAAGGTCCCTTGTCACCCAGATCATGGAGATTAAGTCTACCGGCTGGGGCCGCTGGAAGAAAAGCCACTACTCCAAGTTCCACGCGACGGTTCCATATGCAATGCTATGTCGCACGGCAGGTTTGTCTAAATACATGTTGGCAGCTCATCATCGTTGTTTTTTCTGCAGGATTAAGAGAGTACTTCTCCGCAGAAGCCCTGCAAGGGGTAGAAGAGCGCCTGGTTACAAAGAGCATCGTTAACCACGATGAATCTACTTGCGAGACAACAAGACTTTCGCAGGTTGAAACCAACGAAGAGTTTTATGACGCTATTACGGCAGGAGATCCAGCCGATGAGGACGACGATGACAGTGAAGAAGAGGAGAAGAAACCGCTGAATAAGGTCCGCATCACCAGACGCAAGAAATATAGGATTACTTTACCACATTGAAGGCCTTCTATATGCCTGCTGTCATCTTTCGTGCAGGTGCGAATGCTGGTCATGTGATGCATTTCATATTCTTGCTTTCTCTTTTGGATTTTCATAATCTTTTGGTTGGAAGTTTCTGATCTGCTGGTGATGTGTAGACAGGATCACACAAGCTTCGAAGGGTTACGTGGGGAGTCATGCTGTTATCTAAACGGCCTCCAGGTTTGAAGCTAGGCTATACTTCAAAGCTTTCCGGATTACTTACTGAGGTTTCAGCTCCCGGGGACAATGGAGAACTTATGTTGGGCTGCTCAGCCATGGAAATAAATATGAAGCTCTTCAAGAGCACTCTTCGCCATCAAAGTTCTGAAAAAGATCAAAACTGCTGGTGCGATCCTGGTGGTCAAGGATTTATGGTTAGAGGGAAGACGTACATGAAAGATTACTTGAAGGTCCGGTTCTTGTATCGTTTTTAGTCACTCACTCACACTACTTTCAGGTGCCTGGAGGAGATCCTCTTTTAAAACTTCTAACAGTCGACTGGCTAAAGTCAGACGATAAGATTGGTGCAATTGCAAAGCATCCGGCGTCTATTGTCCAGGTTTGTTTGATGCTCATTTTTCTTGGGTTCCAATTTATACTCTTGTTCTTTTGTCAGACCCCGGCCGGGAAAGCATTGCCATTCATCTTTGTAGTTAATCTACAGGTATTTCTGCTTTTAGGTGGCAGTTTTTTTCTGCCTAACCGAAAGGAGCATTTTATGAGCAGGTTCCGGCTAAACCGAACTACAGCCTTGTGTTCTATTATGCTGCCGACAGACCAATTCGGCCCGGTTCTCTCCTGGATAAATTTGCGAACGGAGACGACGCATTCAGAAATGCACGGTTCAAACTGATTCCTAGCATTGTAGAGGTAAAATAACACTAGTTAACGTTTTGGTTTTGTTCACATCTTGTATCTATACAGGGGTATTGGGTTGTGAAGCGAGCCGTGGGTACAAAGGCCTGCTTGCTTGGACGAGCCGTGACTTGTCATTACATCCGCGAAGACAATTATTTTGAGGTAAGGATTCATACCAATGCTGCTGAAAACTCATTGGTACTCTGCCAGATTGACGTAGACATAGGATCATCGTCTGTTGCGCGAGGAGTGATTGGATTGGTTCTGGGTTACGTGACAAACATCGTTGTGGATCTTGCTGTCTTGATTGAGGTATGTGAAAGAGAGAGCATACTCTGGAATGGAGATTAATATCTTCTTCGTTCCAGGCCAAAGAAGAGAGTGAACTGCCGGAGTATCTCTTGGGCACAACAAGGATAAACCGCATTGTGCCAGAGGATGCCGAGGCGTACGAGGGGTGGCGACAACACCCTTAAATCTTTGTTCAAGGCAGTCACTACCCATGTGACAAAAAAGCATGGTCTGTGGATACAAAATTTTGGTAGACACGACACGACTTGGTCTTGTGCATAATTCTATGCGGTTTGTAAAGAATTCATTTAGAAAGTCTTTTACACGTTTGTTCCGGAAAGGTGGCAAGGCTAGCTCTGCATAACCCTCCGCTGGAATTCGATTGGATGACAATGGCTCTGTTGAGCACTAAATAAGTTAGTCCAGTCGTCAAATAGAATTTACCTAAACCCACCTAGTATTAATATAGCCGATCTGTTTGCAAGAATGTGTGCCATTGTCTCGTCTTGTCGCACCTATCATCTCTACCAGTGTTTCAATCCTAGAATTGTGTTGAGCGCAAGAAGAGTTTTGAGATCGTCTTGTTCGTTTATCAACGAACAGTAATATGCTGGTATCCTGCTAAACGCAATTACAGTCAGTTATATCCTCTAGAAACCGATCCCACCTTCCTACCATAAAACCATGAGGTAGAATCAGCTACAGATTCGCTCAGATAGTTTCTTACCTCTTCCCAGTTGCCAAGTAGTATCTCCTTGTTACCTGCATTCACAGCATCTTGTGACATCAACACCTGAATTTCTCCTATCATCAGACATAACTACAATCAAACTAGGAGAAAATAAAATTTAACCTGCCCATACGTGATCAAAATGGTAGGTTTTTTCGGAGTAATGACCTCCATGCTGCAAGCAGACAAAGCGTCAGAGAGAAAGAAACAAACAAAGATCATCCGATCAGCCGAAAACTTAGAGCATCGTATTCCAAGGGATATTTCTCACTTCCCAAGCTCACCAAAACTAAAAAGGGGAAGCACTTGCCATGGCTATACATATTGACTATCTTCAAACCTGCTACTCGCTCGAACAGGCTTAATGCTGACATTGTAAATCAAATCAACAGTCACAAGAGGCGAACCAAATTACTGCTTAGTACCTGCTCAAAAAAGTGGCTGCAGAAATAGTAGCCCGCTTTGCCAGAGTCCAAAGAGTCGTGGCAAATGAAGCTTAACTTGAGAGTCCATCCCTTCTTTAAGAGGTGTGGCTAGATCCTCCTCGGTTGCATCATCGAATGATGCCGACACCACCGCAGCACCTTCAACTGTCTTTCTGCTCTGCTGGAGGGCGCAAATCCCACGTTCAAGCTGCACCATTTTATATAAAAGCTTGTTGCTTTTCGAAAAGCTGAGGAAAAGAACAAGTTACTACAAATCAAAACAGAGAACTCAGTTACCTTGGCAGAGTCGGATATTCAAATTTTCCGGGTGCAGCTTCCGGCTTCTTGTCACCTCAACAAGGAAAAAGCGAACATCATCCTCACTGACAATGTAAAACGAAAAAAGGTAATCAGCCAGAAAGAGTTTCATAGTTTATTACCTTTGACCCACAAGGTGAAAATTTAGATCGGCTTCAGACACTTTTCTCTTGATGTGGTTCCCTTTGCTGTCCTTTCCTTTCAAGCATTTTAGACCCAGCCTTTCAATCTCGATCGAAGAAGAGTACACAAACTTTGCAGATCTGATTGGGTGTACGATGCTGTAATGAAACAAAAAACAATTAATCAACACTTTCAAAAGCAAGATTTTTTTACCTTAGTGCTGGAAACTTTTGAAGTATAAAAGGTGATAGATTCACCTTTGTTGCAAACTTGGACACAGAGAGCAAATCAATCCTGCCTAGGAGGTCTTGCTTTTGCATACCAAGAACGTATGCTCTTGATATAGTCATGAGTTTCCCACGATGATCCAGAAGGAGATTTTGAGTAAATACCTTGCCAACAAAAATTTTAAAAAGAGTAAAAAGGAAAAAACAACTTACATCGTGCCTATTGCGAGGCATGGGAGAAATGACAGCCTGCTCGGATGCTGGAGACTCAGGTAGCCAAAGTGATTCCTGCCTGCAGAGAAGAAACAAAGCACGAATCAATGAATGGAACAAAAGCTTAGTTCAAAATTTCTGATGTTGCAGGAAACTCTGGCAGAACTAATGGCTGCAAGCATCACAAAAAATCAACATCACCAGAAACTCCAAAACTCACCCCTCTTTTTTTTTTAGCAATTTTCACAAGCTTCATGTTTTCACATGGAAGACCATCTGCACTTTATTTTCGAGTGTCTGCTTCCTGTTTGATAGCTTCATCAAGAACATATAATACAAGAACTGCTTTGCACAGGCTTTGGTGCCCGGATCCTACACAAGAACTTGCAGCACTATAAAATTATTATATATTATTGTTTGTAGTTTTTCTATTATTATAATTCTGTTCCCAATTGTAAAAGTCTAGTAAAATCAGAATGAGAAAATGGCGCCTGTTCCGAGTGTGACCAACACCATGGTCACCCTTCATCGAATCCACTCTGGAATTGAGGTGCTTATGATGTTTATGTGTGCGCCTTGCCACCACTTCAGATTAAATTCCACGTTAGGCACGAGAATGCATTGGATTGGATTAAGCTTCAAAAATAAAAATGAAATCATTTGTGTTTTGATTCAATCTACAGTAATGCTTTCAGTGTATTATCAAATGGAAAGCCTTTGACAAAATTCTTGCTTGCTAACCTGCTAGGATTTTGCCATTTGTACAATGATTTCCTTTCTTGAATTTTCGGAAAGCAAGAGTTTAATTTAAAGTTAATATTTTAGAAGCTAACTCGTACGAATTATTCAGATTAATCCTTGCTTTTCGGGAGAGCTGGAGATTGTCGCATTCCTGTAGCTCTGGCAACCACACAAAAAAAAAAACTTGGAAAAGAAGGAAGAACGTACATGGAGAAATAGAAAACGAAGCACCAGCAGTTGCTTGTTGCTCTCAGAAGTTGCGGTTGCCATATTCTTTGAAAATTGCTTCCTCGTAATATTAGCATCAGGAAATTCTATGAGAAGAGAAATAGGAAGAAGAAAAGGAAAAAATCTTGACAAAGTTTACCAGTTTAACGACAGCTCAACCATTTCAGTTCCGCTAGAGCATTCGCATCAGGAACCCCGAGAATGCATAAAATCTTTCCCGGCACGACAATAAATGCTGCAAATCAACCAGAATGAAGTATGGAACACGCTATAGAAAACCACAAAAAAACTCTGACCTCTCCCGGTGTTCTCGCGCTCCGCTGAAAACTTTGTCCTCCAAAGCCTGCTGCTCACGCAAAGATTGTCAGCAACAAAGAAATTCTTTCGAAGAACACAAGAATAACCTCAATGGTGCGACTGCCGGTGTAAACTTAAAGAACCGTTTTGTTGCGAGGGGCCAAAGCCTGCGTTTTCCAAGTTGTGGTGGATGGTACTCCTGTGCAATGTCTGTTAAGGCCGGAAGGAGATTAACTAGGCCAAAACTCGAGCATACCAAAGATGGTGTTCATCGTGCTTCCAGAAGGTCTCCCCGAGAATGCCGACATATTTGTCTGAAAAGAGGAAGAACACTGCAATAACAAGAGGAACTTTGTGACAAACCAAATATATTTTCCAGGCAGAAGAGCATTTACCGTCAGCTTGATCCGATTCGCGTTTCTATACGAGCAAATTTTCCCCAGCTGCGAGCCACCGGATCACACGTTTAAATCCCAAGAGCAAAAGAAAGTGCTCTCGTGCGCGCTCGTGTCAGTACCTTGCTTTTGAAAAGCTCGAGGGGGGAAAAGCCTTGATCAAACCAATGTCCTCCTTGGATAGCTCAAGATTCGAGCGCTTCAAGGCTCTCTTCCTTTCTGCGAGGATCGAGAGAATCAACGAGGAAAAAGAGAAAGAAAGAGATTTACCAAGTAGCCCTAAACTTCGCTTTTGTGACACGTGTAAACCCCTAAGGTTTTTAGGGTTCTACGAGTTTTTTGTCTCTCGATTTTTGTTACTGATCGATCATGGGGAGTGGAAGATCGCCATGCTCGCTTGCTTAGGTATGGAAGTTTTTCTTCGTCTTTTCTCACCTAGAGGTTCTCGGTACAGATTGATTGAATGAATGGAGCTATGAGATCCTGTGTGTCTATTCCAAGCCAGGGTTGTTCTTGGAATCCCTTGCCTATCTCTACGATCCACCTCTGGTCGATTCGATCAAACCTGGAAAATTTTGGGAGCTAGAGGCCCGATGAGGCTAGGGTTATGTGCCGGTCCACCGCATCTATCAGCTTCGTTGCCACTTGACCCGCAAAGGTAGATGTTCCTTCCATTATCTGCAAGAACAAACAAGGAAGCTTAGTTCGTTTCTTTCCAAAGATATCGCGCAGGTCGATCGATCGACCAAGAACGAAAAGATGGAAACTTGCGAGACGAGCGAGAGCTGGAAGATCACTGGCCTACCTTGGTGTTGAACATGAAAATGTGGTGCTCGCCAATGCTGGCTCCATTGGCATGGAGCAAATCGAGGTGGAGCTCGTTCAAGCTCCTCAGCACCGCCAGGAGCACGTAGTTCCGCCGCCTCCGCTGGGTGAGCTTGATGTTTACTTCGTCGTCCACGATCCTGACGTCGATTTGCGTTCCCATCTGTGACGTTCTTTGCAGCCAGGAGCTCCGGAGCTGCGAGCCATCGCCCAGGAAAGTTGTCTCCTTGGACACTCGCGTCCCTCCCGGCTGGATTGCGGAGCTGCTCTCCATGTCCGTGGCACCACCACCCTCGGAAGGATTGTCCGGCGACGCCTTGCAGCGCCTCTTGTTGGATCCACGCCGCTTCTCCTCGACTAGCAGCTGCAACTCCTGGACGGTTCTCTTGAGCTCCTTGACATACTCGATGGCGTCCGCGACGATGGAAGCTCTATCAGCCTGCGAAGGTTAGTTGGGTGAGAAGTGAGAATAGATCGATCGACGAAGAGGAAAAAATGAAGCGAAAAAGGAATGCAGCACAGGATAATGGATCGATCGACAAGAGGAAAAAAAGAAGCAAAAAGAAAGGGAAATGCAGCACAGGAAAAGTTCTATATGCAAGGGTGGCCAGGCTGAAGATGAGAACCTTTGAGGGGTTGGGGACCAAGGATCTCAATGTCTGATACTTCTCGTTGAGATACTCACGCCGCTGCCGCTCCGTCGCGAAGTGATTGATGCCTCGGTTCTCGGCTCCTTTGCCGAAAGTGAAGTCCCTCTTCTCGAACAGGCTCGGGAAGAGGCGGCCCTCTTCGTGGCCGCCGCTGGTATCCCGGTCTTCCAAGTCGAGCAAGCCGGGAGGACGCATTATACCGGACTTTGAGCTCAGGTGGTGGTCGGAAGCATGAGGCAAGGTGTGAAGCAAATGCCTGAAGGAAGGCTGTGGAAGCAATTGCTGGCCGTGGACATGAGAAGAGTCGCCAATCTCTGCTGCGGTGGTGAAGGACGACAAGGCTCCTGGATGGCTCAGCTTCTTGGAGCTGACGGAGTTGAATGGCCCGGAGATGGTTCCTCCCGGCAGCGACGATGAGGCACAGCGTGGAAGCTGGAGGAGGCTCAGGAGCTCCGACTCTCTCCGGAACTTTGGTGGAGTGGAGTTGCCGAAGAAGTTTTGCTGCTGGACTTGGATGTGCTGCTGCTGCATAAGCATCTCCTGGAGGACATGGACGTTTTCTTCCCAGGTGGTGGCGGTGGCGGTGGAGGAGGCAGCGGTGGTGGTGGAGGACTGCTGCTGGCTGTTTGCTGGCTGCTGCTGCTGCAACATGTCGTGGAGAAGCTGGCCATTGTCATCCAATTCGAATTCCACCGAAGGGACGTGCAGCTCCGAGCTAAGTTGCGGAGCGTCGCTGTGGATTTCTCCCAGCGCCAGATTCGAGGCCTCGAGTTGCTTCTCGAGCGTGTCTGTGAGATCCAGCAAACCGGTGCCATTGTCCGAATCCAGGCCCCCCTCCAGCGTGAAACTCTCCGAGGAGCGAGCAAAGTAGTTGTGATCCTCGTAAAGCGTGGTAGCCCCAAAATGCTGCATTATGATCCTTCGCCTGGGCAGGAGACAACGAGTAGAGAAGGATGTGTCAACGAGTGGAGAAGAAGAACAAGAACAAGAACAAGGTGCTGGAGGCATGGTGAGAACAAATTTTGTTTTTCCACAGTACCTTGTTTCTGATGTTTTCTCTGCTGCCTAGTTCATCTTGACGACGACAAAGTAGCGGACAAGAACGTTGTCACCTCCGCTCCTGGTTCGCTGGTATGAACACCTCCCTGGAGGAAAGAAGGCGACGAAGAAGAAGAAGACAACGAGACCTTCAACAATATATAGCGACCGAGGCCGCTCCGTTCCGTTTCCCTCTTCTGTTCCGGTGCACGGTAGCAACGAACTCGGTTGCACGCAAACCAGTACTCGGAGTACCTCGGCTCATCTCGTTTTCTTCCACTTCATTCCAGCTCTGTTCTTTATTCCCTGCGAGTGAGGTGAGCTTCAAGGTGGGAAAGCGTCGGCGTTTAAGTTTGTCTTCTTTTTGTCTTTCCTTTTTCCTGTTTTTTTCTTTTCTTTTCTTTCTTTCTTTTGTGCCTCTCTACTGACGGATGATATCGTAATTGTCCAGGCTCCAGCACCAGCAGGGTTACAACTCTTGGACAGTAGAGGGAAGACCATGCACATAGGAGACTATCGTCCCCGCTATGTGCTGGCTTTCTGGGAGGCACGGAGCGAGGACCGGCTGGTACAGTAAATGTCCCAGCCCCTGACATACCTTACGAAGTTAAAACGACGAACGCATACGAGAGGTACGTCATACATCCGTCATGCTTTACTCTTGTGCTTTGAGAATTTGTGCCTCGCCTCATACATCCGTCGTGCTTAAGTTGTGGTGCTTAGAGATTTTTGTGCTTGTGACATGGAGACGCCTTCTTTTGCATCTCTGTTTGCTTGTCTTTTGCTTGTGCTTCTTGTTTAGTTGAACCAGGCTTTGTGCTTGGCAGGACAGAATCCGATTCCCGTTTCTTGGCCTGGGTCAAAAATTAATCGGCTGGCATCTTTACTGCTGCCGAGCAAAGCTAAGTGGTTTTTTTCGTTTAGCAGTTTGCATGGTATTTTAGTTTTCTCGATTCGCATCGACTCTTTTCGCCGGGCTGCTGATTTCAGTCAGTGTTGCGAGAAAATTCTCCTTAAGTTAGACGTTTCTGTCCCCGCACTTGCAAGCCGTCATATGATCTGAATAGAACCGTATGTGTCTGTCGTCCCCCCGTTGCTTACGTCTCTTGATTTCAAGGGAATTTTTTTTTTCCAAGGCTCGCGAAACCGTGTCTACAGAGCTTCGCTTTTGGATGCTTCCGCATTGAGCCAGCACCACCATCATTTTCTAAAGGGGCACCTATCATGTGAACTCTTTGTCATTTCTTGCTCGCCAAGCCTATGTTTGGTGTGATGTGCAGCGGGTACTCAAACTCTGCCTGCCAAAGCTTGCGTGCTTATCTTTGATAGTTAACTAATCCCCCTCTCACTCTCCCTCCTTGCAGGCAGTAAGGCCATCTTCGTTGCTGTGCCGGCATGCAAATTAAAGCTCATCTCGTCCCCGCAAGCTCTCTACATCCCAGTACTCGCGAACGATTATGAACTGGCATCATGGTCTTCCACCAAACTCGTCCAACATGAGTAGCCGGAGGGGAACAGTATACTTGAAGAAAGGAGGGGGAATATATATATGCCCAAAGCATATATATATCATTCCCAGTCCTCTCGCCAGTCTACGACTTCGACTGGCAACTACAACAAAGGAAAGACAAAATTTTGGCGAGAAGAAAACAGAGGAAAGTAAAAGGTGGGGGGAGGCACAGATTAAACTGGAGCATCGCAGAATCAAAACAGGAACAACACCTATCACTTTCCGGGGGGAGGCATTGGAATTTTGGTAGGTGGCAGCGTCGCCATCGCGAAATCATTGGAAGGGATGAAGATATGGATCTCTAGTCAAGGCGCTGGGAGGGGTATCTTATACACTTTCATCAGTTTTTGGGAGGAGGAGGACGAGAAGGGGTCAAAGTTGGTTCCAACGCGCTTGGGATGAGGCCGGGCTTTACCATTTAAAAATGCCAGGCTTTTGCACGGTTGTGCTTCCGGAGTACAGAGATTCAAAGAAGGCCGAAGGCTCCGAAAAAAGAGAGTTTTTTCTTCTCCTCTTCCTGTATACCCGGTATGTGTTTCTTTCTCTCCTTCTTTAAATTTTTTTCTTGCGATGTACACTCACAAGAATTTGTAGATCGATCTGGAGCGCATCTAACACTCGAAAGTCATGGGCCGAAGAGAGCTCTCTCTGCCAATCCGAATGCTATAAGCAGTGTGGCGGACTTTGCTTGTAAGGTATGTTGTGGATCATTTGCTTCTTTCGCTGGAATTTATTGTGTTGCTCCCGGCAGCGTCGTGAATCGTGATTGATTGGTTTCTCGTGATGCTCTTGCCAGGTTTGTTTCGGGGAGTTTTATTTCGTTTCGCCCCCGCCATTGCGCTTGTTTCCATCACCCATGGAATGATTGTCCATAATTGGTTTCGTTAGATTGACTCACACAATGTGGGTGGCCTTTCATTCCTGGGCAAGTTTTGGTGTCGCCATTAAGGTTGATGTTCTTCTAACATCGCTTTATCTGTTCTTCTTTTCCGGCTTTGATTTGCCTTTCTTTTGCAGGCTCGCGCGCTCGCTCGAGCATAAATCCGGCATGAAAAAACGAAAGCGGGGGTGGGAATATCCCCGCTTTCCTGCATGCCGGACATCGCGATGTGTAACAAACCCACGGCCGTACGAGTTGGGGACCACTTTTGTACGGCTGGGCGCGGCACATCCAACGGCTCTGTTTGAATTTGACGACGGTCAGCTGGATATTCCGCCTGGCTTGCGACTTTTAGGGTTTTAGACCGCTGCCCGGCGATGGATGCAGTGGATGGAGCTAGCTGATAGCGGTAGCGCTTCCAGGCTAGATCTCTTTCTCAGTTCTTCCTTTTTCTTCTCGTTCTTTCTGACAGGCGAGCGCTTGGAATATTTATTGGAACACATGAAGTCTCTGGCCAACGATGAAGGAGCAATTGTACATCCTGGAATGCCAGACGTAAGTAACTCAGTGATCAGGATCCATGATTCGCTTGACTTCTTTTCTTAGGAGCCGAAGCAATTCACTGCAGTGGCTGCTCGTTCCAAAGACGGAGAAGAGTCGTTTGAAAGAAATCCGATCAATCGGTCATGAAGTAGTTGTTGCATTGAATGGCAGCTTTGTCAACTCTGGGACAAACGAAGAGAAAAGAGGGAGACTGTGCTACTCGGTTGACTTGTGTGCGTATCTAATTCCCGGAGCTTGCATTTCTGCGAGGGGGACTTTTACTCCGCTACGATATTCTCAACGTGTGTGCCTCACCTTGTTGAGCTAGTCCATGACGCCAGTCCGACTGTTTCTAGTTTTCGAGATTTTTTGCGATTTCTTTCGTGTTTATGTTGATGTCTCACTGTCAGGGACGAGAAATCAGAGGCTTCCTACACGACTTACGATTTTTGTGCTGTGCTGAGGATCACCAGGTTCGCTCTTTACAACATATAACTCTGCTTTGACTTCCTTCTTTAGTTTTTGTCTCTTTTCTTGCGATGGACTTCACGACACGGATTGATGTCGAGGTCAGAGCAAGTATTCTAGTTTTCTAAAAGCTTCTCAGGCTTCTTTGCTTTTCGTTTTCCGTGCTGCAGTTATCAGGAGGGAAGACTATGGCAACGGCACTCTCTTTTTTCTATACTCAGATCGTAACATCAACGCTTTTTAAGGTTCTTTGACAGGGATGGAGATGCTTTAGTTTTGACAAGAGCATTTGACTTGCAGCTAATGTGAATGGTTTGTGTTCACTTGGAAAGCATAGTGACGGCGACCAAACAAGTTTTCTACAATGGCAATGCAATTCCTTGACGTGCCCAGCAGTTCCACTTAAGATGCTGACCAACTGAATTAGTCCTCGTTTCATGGCAGGGAATCAATTCTGGCTGGTAAATCATGGCATTTTAACTTGTGGCATTTTTGCAGATATACTGTTTTGGCAAGACCAAACCAAGAATTTGTCTGAGAAAAAAGTTAAAAAAAAAAAAAAAAAAATTCTTTAGGATTTTTTAAAATGTTTCCCACCCTCATTAAAAACACAAATTAATCAATGAGGGTTTAGTTTTTTTTTTTTGAATATTATGAATTTTTTATGAATATTACTAAATTTTTTAATTCTATTATAGACTTCTTCTTTTATTATTTATATGTTGTTCACATGTTGTTCTCAGTCCCTACTAACAATATCGATTTCTAGAAAAATTAAACCAAAAATGTAAATTAGTGTCGATTATTCTAGAAAACTTGAAAGAAAATGATATGCTTACTGGACTTTTTCCTTTTAAAATTATCTTGCTATAGTCTTTTTCACGATCAAGTCCTCACTGATACCAGAAAATTTTCTTCTTTAAGTTTTTAAATTTTTAAATTTTTTTTAGTAAGGTATTTATTTATAATTACAGTCTATTTTTGTTTATTTTTGGTGGATAAAATATAAATTTTAATTTTAAATATTTTTAGTTGTATACTCATTCTTGTTTAAAAAAAAAAGCATTTTTATGTGAAGGAAGAGGGGGATTTAACATTTAAAGATTGATAATATAATTATATTAAAATAAAACTAAAAATAATAATTATGAGACATTTATATGTCCTTCAAAATAGTTTTAGCTCCTTAAAAGTTTTAAAAACATAAAAAGTTTATAGCGATAAATATAAAATTAAAGTGCTTAATTAATTAAGAAAATCATTATATTTATAACGTTAGAAGTTATAAAAAAGAAGATAATTTTTTTAATATTATTTAAACAATAAAAAACGTTTTTAGACTTTAAATAATTATTTTTTAGTTTATTAAATGTTATCTTGATGCATATTTTGGTTATGCAAATATTTTATAAATTAAAAATTATTCAGCAAGAACTAAACCTATATAGTTTTAATTTTAACTATTTCAATATATCTAAAAATATAAAATTTATGGATAAATTGAATTGTCATTTTCTTTCTTGTAATAAACTTAATTCTTAAATATTTAACATTATATATTATACAAGTTTTACATCAATTCAAATTTTCTAAAATATATAATATTCTTATTTGGACTTAAAAAATAAATAGAAAATAGGTAAATTTTTTTCTTTGATTTGTTTTATTTAATCTTTTTTAGATACAAAGATAGTAATCAACAAATTTATTATTCTCATTAGAAATAATAGATTCATATAATGTATTAAACTTTTGATTTTCTATTTAACATATAAAAAACAAACTCTTAAAGTTAAAAAATAAAATTTAAGTAATAATATTGGAGGATTATTAGGCATCAGATCAGGATAATAGGATGAGGAAAAAGCCCTACAATCAAGTGATCACCCCTTTAATCAGTTGCCTTAGAGTGTAAGGGATAGGACCTTAACAATGGTATTAGAGCCCAATTCGATTCTCATGGCTAACGAGTGGGGCAAGAATATTCTGAAGGAATATTTAACATGATAGATATAGAGGGGGTTTGGTAGACCCTAAGAGAAAGATCATGGTGAAAGAGTTTGTAATAAATAGTTCATAATATGTAATCAAAATTGTAAGTATGTCTAAAATAATAATGTAGTAAAAACATGATTTAGTAAATCCACTACATATATAATTCCATGTTAACACATAATATTCTATTTTATTTTTAAAAAATTTAACTTATTTGAACAAGAACAACCATTACTATTATCTTCAATATATTTAGGGAAATAGAAACATTACCAGAATAGTTGCAAGGCAACTAACCATGAAATGAAGTTTTTGGAAAATATGTAAAAATATTAATATGCCTTGCAACCATAAAATGGAGTTTTTGGAAAATATGTAGAAATATTAATAAAGCTTGAATTTTGCTCACTTGCTCGACCACTACGGCCGTACAGAGAGGGATAACAGTGTGAGGTTTGTAACCTCAGGACAATTAAAAAAGAAAAGAAATAGTTAGAACAATTTTAACTTCGATTGCATGTCTGGTTCCATCTTTTGAAAAGCCTCTCTTCTCTCGCATCTCGTGACTATCAATCAAACTTTCCTGGCCAGCGTCCTCTGCTTGGTAGCGTGGCGCACTACTTTCTCCTCGACGTGCAGCCCTTTCCTCCTCCTCACCGCATCGATGAGCTTCCTGGCCGTGTTCTGCGGCACGCTGGATCCATCCCCAAACTCCTCCAGCTCCTCCTCGGTCTTTGGCACGAAGAAGGGATCCTCCGCCAGCGCCTCCCAGTGGCTCAGCATCAGCTGCGGGCTCGCGGCGCCGGACGTCTTCCTCCTCAGCTCGTCCGCGAATCCAAAGCTCTCGGCCACCGGCATGAAGGCGTGCACCGTGAACATGTCCGTCCCCTCGCGCATCTCCTCCTTGAGCACCCGAGCTCGCCTCTTGGCCAGCACGCCATACATCTGTCCCAGGTACTGCGAGGTGGTGCTCACCTCGCACAGATACATCGCTTCCACGAGCCTCGGGCACCTGTGTAGCACCGCTGCCCGGCAAGCTTCCTTCACCGCCGTGATAACTTGGCCAGAGAAGACGCCGTAGGACGTCGAAGTGCCCGGCTGGTTTTGGCTTTCCGCGCTCTCGGCCGTGCTTGCCTCGGAGATGAAAGCTTCTACCGTGAAAACCAGTCCCCATAGAGGCTCCTCGCACAGTGGCCCGGCTCCTGTAGCTAGTTGAAACCCCGCAACTATGTTGCCTTCCAGTCCATCGGCCTCGGCAGAGAGTAAACCCGAGCTCTCTGGATCAGTGCTCTGCTTGTGAGCTACAGCGAAGCCCAGTAGCTCCGACACGTATGGAGAGCCTCGTATCTCTGCTGTAGACGTGCTACCGTCGATGGATGTACCACCTTTAGGCCGTCCTGGGCGGTCGTAGTCCGGGACGAGAAGGATGTTCGGTCCCACTCCTCGCGGGCCAAGAGCCCAGATTCGTTTCAGTTCCTTCTCAAAACTTCCGTCACCTTTCTTCTTCTCGGAATCACCGGATGCAGCTGCTAGTAGCCGTGCTTTCATTGCTTCCACCGGATCGGCTTTGCCTTCGATGGCTGTCTGCGGCTTCTTCTTGCCGGAGACCAAGTTCTTGAGCAGCTCCGCACTCTCGTCCAGCAGCTGAGTCAGTGAGCTCGGCATCCTCGCGACGTGAACACGTATAGTGCATCGGCCGTTGGGTGTAGTCACTTCCACATAGTCGGTCTTAACCTCGGTCGCGTTCTCGTCTATGGTTTCTCGAAATGCCACTAGAGGCGGAGATACTTCCAGCTCCACGCAGGCGAACCGCTCTTTCAAATCCTTGATGCACAGCTCCAAATGAACTTCCCCAGCCGCGGAGATGACGTGCTCGCCAGTGCTGGAGAGGCTCACTTCCACGAAAGGATCGGCTCTGTTAAGTAGTCTTAAGCCTCTCGAGAGCGCAGCCATGTTCGCTGGATCCGATGATTCCACTGCCACACGGACGATTGGAGCAGCCTGGAAGTTCAAACCGGCGAAAGGCCAACAGTTCTGAGTAGACGATAGAGTTGCCGACTTCAAGATATACTGGCCGAGTCCTCGAATGGCCACGACGTTGCCGGCAGTGGCTTTGTCACAAGGCTCCAGGCCTCGGCCCATCATACTGTAAAGCGCTTCCACTCTCGCTACCTGGAGGTTCTTTTTTTCTTGCTGCGCCTCAGTTGGATCGTAGAGAGCCGAGAGAACAAACACGTGCTGTCCCACTGATATCACTCCGCTGAAGACCCTGGCGAAAGCTAAGAAACATTCCCTGTGTGATGCATCTATATCACCTGCATTCCAGTCCGTTTTGAAAAGATCCTCTCCGCGAGGCATCATCTCAACTGGAACCGCAAACATTTTCGAAACAAACGTCACGCATGGAGCCTCTGGTCGATCGTCACAACTCTCCACGGCCCTTCTCACGGCTTCAAGCTCAGCTTCTACGTCCTGGCTGGTACTAGAAGCAACAAGCCTTCTGGGATACATTGTTGTTGTGCGGTATGCTTGAGCTGTGGCCGGATCTGGTAGAACTTCCAGCACCATTGACAAGATGTTGTCGTGGAGAGGAAGCCACTTGCTCATGACCGCCTGCAGAACTATCTTTGGATCCCTGTTCTGAAGCTCACGAACCGATATGGTGAGCTTCATTTTCTCCACCACCTTGTTAAGCATTTCGATCCCTTGCTTCCCTTCCATGCAGGCGTTGTAAACTTGCCATAGCGGCTCCAATATGAACTGGACGAACATCGGCTTGTGCTTCCCAGCGGCCTTCTTCCCCACGATTTTCTCCTCCTTTGCTAAGAAGTAGAAGTCACCCCACAGAGACTTCCTCAGCGACGCAAGACTAAATCCCCGCTTTGCCCGGTATAACTCCGCGAACTGGTACGTTCTAAAAGCCCACCCATCGACGGCGCTGGAGAAGGCTACGTTTCCCTGCTGCGGAGAGAAAACATCCTTCTCGGATTCGCTATCATCGTAGTCGTCAAAAGAATCACCATCTTCTTGCTCGCGTCCGTTGGCCTTCTCCTCAGCTCCTGCAAGAATGGAATCCACATCCGATAAATACTTCTCAGATCGAAATCCACTCATTATGCTGTTCACTTCGGAGATAATTCCCTGAGAGTGGCAATGAGAACGGAAAAACAAAAAATTAACTTCCAGAAGTTAATGCAAGGATCGATGCTGCGAGGCAGTGAGGAAGGAAAATAAAAAAATACCTTCATTCGAGTGTAGGCCTCCAAAGGCGTCAATTTGAGCTCGGTGATGAGACGATCCATTTTGTTGAGAACCAAGCACGGCTTCACTTGTTCCATCCAGGCCTGGCGAAGCACCGCGTGTGTTTGAATGTGGACGCCCTCGCAAACATCCACAAGGACCAGCGCCCCATCGCTCAGCCTCACGGCGGTGGAAACCTCGCTGCAGAAATCAATGTGGCCGGGAGAATCGATGAGATTGACGGAATGTCCCTGGAATCTAAGCGCAATCGAGGCGCTCTTCATCGTGATGGCGCGCTGCTGCTCATCGTCCCTGTAATCCAGGTACCGCAGCTTACCAGCTTGCTTGGGATGCAAGACACCGCCTCCAGCGCCGGCGATGAGATGATCCGCGAGGGTGGTCTTGCCGTGATCGACGTGCGCGAGAATGCAAATATTTCGCGTCCTCGCCGCCTCCCTCTCCATTGCCCTAGAATGCGAACGCGGTCTAGGGTTTAAGGCCCCGGATTCTTCTAGAGGTCTGCAGTTCGAATCCTCTCAGTGCACCTCTTCCATCGCGCATCTTTCTTTTCGTAGCACAACAACAACACGTTAGCAACATGTAAAAAGACAGTGGAGTGGATGTCTGTTGTTCCGAACATGGCGAAAAGAAATGATAGGCCTAGTTAGGCTCTCCACAGCGGGCCCACGAGAATCGAGCACCGGACCGCGCAGCACATGGAAATGGACGATATCGATCGCGCCCAGTCACCAGTGCCCCACCAACGGCATGGATCGCCCGCAACAGAATGTGAAAGGCTCAAACATTAGCCCCATTTGAGTTGTCTATTGCTGCCCGGTCGGTCGACGGGCAGCCCCTGTCGGATGACGAGCCCACTCTTTTCGGGCACGCAAGAAGAGCATAAACTTGCATATACCCAGACTTTCAAGTTTAAAAAAATGCCGCATCTTCGTCCAAGGGATGAAAGGCTGGGGGCTGACGTGCGAATATTCTCCGTGGGGTACACTGTCGTGATGTGGGCTCGAACCCGGAACCACACGTTTGAAACAGCCGATCTTGTTCTTTGCCTTTATTTTAATTTTTACTATCATACAAAGTCCTATCATTATCAACGTGAGGGAACTTTGGCGTAATATAGAAGTGACCTTTTGTGTAACCGCTGTCCACCCAAGCCCGGGAGTATATCTCCGTTTTCTATCAAAGGGCCTGGCGTGTTGCCTTGTCTAATCGGCGGAGGACCGGCCAACAGATTAGATTAAACTAGTATTGTTTACTCGGTGCCTTATGCTAATCATAAGAGGGGCGGATGACCACATGCGCTGTAGTATAGACTTTGAAATTGTGCATCAAAAGGAGTGGAGGCACAAGACAATGATATAAAACCTCTCAAACAAATGAGTGTGATCTCATCGGTGGGACTAAATTATCATCTGGAGCGAATTGTTAGGTCTGTCATTCAAGGCACCGCACACCCCACGCGCACACATTGTGTCTCGCCACCATCGAAAAGAAAAATGTTGCACATTCTTTCTCTCGTTTTTAGGGTTTTTTATCCGCTCCTAACAAAGACCGGGTAGTGATTCGCGGATACATACATACGATCATCTTCTTTTAATAACGTTCTTTTATTAATCGCGGAACAATTCTTACCGACACGCGCCGGTCAATACCGACTGGGTGGCCGGCACGGGCAGGGCGGGCAGCGGGCAGGCATTACTGCCCGGCCCAACATTTGGTGTACGACAGCTCGGTCCCTGCGGTCTTGGGCCATGGCCGAAACTCGTGCCGCACCAAAAACGCGCTCCCCCTCTGGAGGGAGGAGATGTGGAGATGGGAGAGAGGGGCCTCCGCCATAGCTGGCGCTCCGGGCCCTAACTTAGTGGCAGTTAAGGGTTTGCATTTCGCGAGTTTGGGTGTGCGTGTGTCCGTGTCGGAGATGTGAAGCGCGAGGCGGTCTGTCGGGGCCAGTTTTTTTTCCTCTTTTTTCTTTCCCCTCTTTTCTTCTCCTGTTCTTCCCTCTTTTCGATCGATCTGAGCTGCGGCGCTGCCACATTCGCGGGCGAGAGGTGAAAGATCGGCGCAGGACCGATATTTTGATCCATCGGCAGCAGCGGCGGCGGCGGCGCCGGAGGAATTGGGAGGAAGATCACACGCATCGGCGGCCGGATGCATCAGGTTCACTCTGAAATTTCTGTCCAGATCATTCGTCCTGTGTGAGTGGAATGGAGGAATGGATGGATTGATGACCGTTTGTTGAGATGCATGCATCCGAGAAAAGCTGTGTGCGTGTTCTTGTGGCGTTATTGTTTTTGTGTGGTCCCAATCTTCTAGGTTTAGTGGTTGCTTTGCTTGGATTTCCAGTGGAAGCCCTCTCTTCTTCGTGTTAAAACTTCTCCCCCTTTTCTTCCTCGAGGCTGGTTTATCTAACTCTAGCTACCGAGTGATTCGTGCTTTGATTCCTTTTTTCTTTTTCTTTAGTTTTTAAAGGTTTTTTTTTTTCTTCCCTTCTCATGTTTTTTTGTTGTTGTTGGTCTGGTCTGCAGTAGAATCGGACGTTTTATTCCAAGATACATGGATTGAAACATTTTCCCATTGCGAGCTCACGGATGGCTCCCAGCTGGGTCATCGGTGAGGGCCCGTGAGCGAGAGCTCCAAGTAGCAAAAGAAGGAAAGTTTGGCCAGCGAGCAGCGTCACAGCTTTGTGGGTCGGACGAGATTATTCCCGAGAGGCAGCCCAACAACGGCCTCTTCCTCGTGCTCGTGTCTGATCGCTAGTGGTGCTCGCATTCATTGAAAGGGCTCTTTGTAAAGGGTCAAGTTGCGGTCTACATTCACAGCGAGCCTCTTTTTCACTTGTAAAGGTCAGTGCTCTTGCCTCTCGCTCTTGGTACGAGTCATGAGTTCTTCATACTTCTTCTTGCTTTCTTTGCTTTGGCTTGCTTGTCTTGGTGGTTTTTTTCCCCCCTTCTTTCTAAACTTCCTTCAATGACTCGTCTTCATGAATTAGGTGGACCTTGATGGTGTTTTTATCTCACAGATCTTCTTTTGTCTGCATTTTGGCAGAGCCGGGGCGGTGGTGGCATTCTTATGGTTTGCGTACAAACGGCCAAAATTGCTCCCCCTCTGCATGCTCCTGCCTTGCAGCGGGGACTGCCCGCTCAACACAAGTCACTAGCTGCCGCGACTGCGCTCAACATGATGAGGTCTCACATGGCTTCGTCCGACCCCAGCAACAGCGCCAACAAGGCTCACTCGGATCATCCCAAGAAGGGACTCGACTCTCAGCTGTGGCATGCCTGTGCCGGTGGAATGGTCCAGCTACCTCCAGTTGGAGCGAAGGTGATTTACTTCCCACAGGGACATGGTGAACAGGCCGCGGCAATTCCCGACTTTCCACGATCTGGGGGGACAATTCTGTGCCGGGTCATATCCGTGGACTTCTTGGCCGACGCCGAGACCGACGAGGTGTACGCAAAGATGAAGCTCCAGCCGGAAGTTGCCCCGGCTCCGCTGTTTGGTACGAGGATGGGTGACGACGAGGAGCTTGTGTCCAGCCCGACTGTTGTGGAGAAGCCGGCCTCTTTCGCGAAGACGCTCACTCAGAGCGATGCCAACAACGGTGGGGGCTTTTCTGTTCCCCGGTACTGTGCGGAGACCATCTTTCCACGCCTGGACTACTCCATCGATCCGCCAGTCCAGACTGTTCTTGCCAAGGACGTGCACGGTGAAATCTGGAAGTTCCGCCATATCTACAGGGGCACTCCTCGCCGGCACTTGCTGACAACGGGTTGGAGCACTTTTGTGAATCAGAAGAAGCTTGTTGCTGGGGATGCTATAGTTTTCCTCCGGAGCGCCAGCGGGGAACTCTGTGTCGGTGTTCGAAGGTCAATGCGCGGGCCTGGGAATGGCGACTCAGGGATTTCATGGCACTCTTCGCCTGGTCAGAGGTCACTTCCGCAGAATTCGTCACGCTGGGAAATCAAGTCGGAGAGTGGATACTCTGAGCTCCTGTCAGGAAATGGATCTGGTACTAGTGGTGCCAGTTTTGCGAGGAACCGAGCAAGGGTGACGTCAAAGTCCGTTTTGGAAGCTGCTTCACTGGCTGCTGCTGGTCAGGCGTTTGAAGTTGTGTACTATCCTCGGGCTAGCACAGCGGAGTTTTGCGTGAGGGCCAGTGTGGTGAAGGCATCTCTGGAGCATAGCTGGTACCCGGGCATGAGATTCAAGATGGCCTTCGAGACCGAAGACTCGTCACGAATCAGTTGGTTTATGGGAACCATATCTGCTGTGCAGCCCGCTGATCCCATTCGCTGGCCGTCTTCTCCATGGCGTATACTGCAGGTAAGCTTACTAGCACTTATCCTTTCGATATATTTACGATATTACTGTTCTTTACAGGTGTCTTGGGATGAGCCGGACTTGTTGCAAGGGGTGAACCGAGTGAGTCCTTGGCAAGTCGAGCTCGTTTCAACACTGCCGATGCAGTTACCGCCATTTTCACTACCGCGGAAGAAGATCCGTCCCCTTGACCTTCAGTTTGGAGAAAGCCAAGGCGGCTTCATGGGGCTGCCAATGGCCGCACTTGCTAACAACGTCTTGGGGCAGATGAACCCATGGCAAAGTCTTTCAGAGGAAGTTCCTGCAGGCATGCAGGGAGCCAGGCAAGAGAGATTTTACGGGCTGACATTGTCGGAGTTTCAGCCTAAGCAGCGTGTAGCTGGGTTGTTTTTGGATGGAGCTTACCCGCTAGATCATTCCATGACTAGCCGTGGTGCCACCACCGACTTGAGGCTAAACAACTTCGCTACTACTACCACTACTCCGCACGACTATTTCCAGTTGCAGCAGGCAAACATCATCAACGCCACCAACACTGGTCGTTCGGCTTATGGAACTCCAGCAGCAGCAACTCAAAGCGAGTCCACCGCACCACCTTCGGTTGCACCAAAGTCCGGGACGAAACGAACTGCAACGTTTCTTCTCTTTGGGAAGTCGATTGATCCAAACTACAATCCGGAAGAGCAGCAGCTGCAGCAGCAACAGAACTCGGGTGTGAGTGGTGGATGCTCATCAGAGGGGACTTCTCACCAGTACAAGGAGAGTACCTCTCAGGCTCAACCCAGCTCGAACTCGTCTTTCGAAGACGGTCAGGCTGACAACAACATCATCAACAATAATCTCGGCAACAAAAACGCCAGCAGTGGCAACGTCACCAACAACACGACGGACATGACTCACAAGCTGTTCACCAACGTAACCAGCACAAGCTTGCGCCTGTGCCAGGGGGAGAGCCCGGACTCAGGCGTCACCAATGAATCGGGCAGCTCCAAGTGGATGAAAGAGCACTCCGGCGCGGACCCGGACGATGACGGCGTCATCCACTGCAAGATCTTCTTCGAGAAAGAAGAGGTCGGCCGGACACTGGACTTGTCTCTGTTTGGGAACTACGAGGAGCTCTACGACCGGCTGGCCTCCATGTTTACTATGGACAAGTCCAAGCTCTCCGGCCGAGTGGTCTACAGGGACCTCGAGGGATCCACTATCTACATCGGTGGCGAGCCATACGGGTACGTTTTCCTTGGATTGAGCTCCTGGATCTTTCAAGTTCTTGACGTGGTTGCTTACGCAGGAACTTTGTGAAATCCGTGAGGCGGCTGACGATCCTGGCGGTGCCAAGCAGCAGCACCGAGTCGCGCTCCGCGCAGTCGTGGTGAAGCACGAAAAGTGGCTCGCAAGGAACCGGGACAAAGCGAAAGAGATGAGACGACGACGTATATCTTAATTTTGGTACTGTCGCTTCTATGTTCGTGCTTTCTCTGCTTCTCTTTCTTTGTTTTCTTCATCTTTGTTGTTCTTATGGCACGCAAGCTCCTGACCTTTCCAGCTCTCTCTCTCTCTCGAGTTTGGAGAAGAAGAAACTTGGAAAGGTACTTGTGGCTGTATATTAGTTTTGTTTGTTACTGCTACTAAAGTTCTACGTTTTCTATTCTGTATCTTTGTGCTTTGTATTTATGAGTGCTCCAATATCTCGTACGCTGTCGGTCTATTTTGTTTGTATCGTATAGTTTTGGAATTCTTGTTCTTTGCTATTACGCAATCTCATTTTGGGACAGTTTGATGATAGTTTTGATCGTGGGAGTTGAAATTCGTTGTCTTCGAGAGATTTGGATTCAGGAGCATAGCTTCTAAATAGTTTGTAAATAAAATCTTCACATAATAACGGGGAATATGCTGTTCTTTTGTTACGTGTCACCCCTCGATCAGTTGCCCTAACTGACAACGAGCTAGGGCGAACGATCTCACCGATCGAGGAATGCGAGAGATTTTCGGATGGATTCCAATGCGCGCACGTCGCTGCTCGCGACTGCGCTGTTGTGGTGAGTGCCAACGCGATCCTTGGCTCCTTCCCGGGAAATGTGAGCGCTAGAATGAGGACCGACAACGGTACGAAGCTGGATTACTTCTCTTCCTGGTCGCAGCACGATGTTCTTGGCACTCCTCGGCGTGGGATGAGGCGGCCGTCGCTGGGATCGTCCAAGGTAGGGCTGCCTGCGGCTCCAAAGTCTGGCGGTCTCAAGAGGAGCAACGAATTCCGGTCGCAGGCCCTCCCGACGCTCAATCTGGCCAAGATCAAGCAAAATCTGGAGCAGCAGCAGCAGCAGCAGCAGCAGCAGCAGCAGGAAGAATCGGCCTCGTCGAGCCAGGATTTGGGAAAGGATGAATCGTTTGAGCCGACTGGAACGCAGTCCACTCCAGCTAGTTCTAGAGGGGATCGAAGGAATTACCTACTCAAGAGAAGCGCCAAAGAGAGCCCGCTGTTCAATGCACTTGCTGGGGACTATGGTGGCGATCACGCCACAAACAAGGGGTATCACGCCGAGACCGCGAGGTTCACGGAGAACAGAGAAAAGCTTCCGAAGTACTCGTATCCTTACTCGGTGACGCAGCTCATGTCTTCCAGCGATAGGAAGTTTAACGGGGATAGCTACGCGGTGAAGAACGGGAGTATGACGACCAGGAACTTTCAGAACAACAATGACAGGGAGCCATCCGAGTCGAGGTTGAGCGGTGGATTAAACTCGGAGGTGGACAATGCCAAAACTAAGAAGTCGGAGTCGACTTTGCAAGCTAAGAAGCTGTCGCTGCGCTTGGTGAGTTCTCTGGAGGAGGCACTGGCCAAGGTGAGCAAGCCGGATTGGGAAGCCAGAAAGCTCTCGCTGCATTTGACGAAGGATCCGTTCTCCGTCACGGCGAGGACGAACCAGGATAGCTATCCTTCCGTGGCGGCTAAGTTCCACGGGAACCTCCACTACCTCAACTTGAAAGATGAGAAGCATTCTCAAGAGGATGCGGCCAAGATGAGCGATAGTTACAGGTAATTTCCCTTTTGTTTTCTAATGGCCTCATGGCTTCAAGTTTAGAAGGCATGCAGGCTTCACGAGGACTATAATTCACAGGGAAGTCATGGAGCTGTTTCAAAGGATCGGGCAGATTGCGTCAAAGTGAAGTCCTTGAAGCTGCCGGTGGACAAGCATTCAAGTGCTGTTCCTCTTGGTACGTTTTCCAGGCCGGAGATTGTTCTATTCGAGCTGACAGAGTTACAGTGACACCGTGCAGGCTTTGGTGGCAATCCTGTTGAATGCGTTCAGACAGCCAGGCTTGCGAACGCTGTTAGTCTTTCTTCTTCCCAGACGCCTTGTTTTGAGCGTGCTCACGTTTTTCGTCGCTTCGCTGTTTCAGATTTCTTCCGAGCAAAATCCAAGACTAGCCGTTGCAGATAGGAGTCGCAGAACCTTAAGTAGCTATCAGAGAAGAAAGGTAAGCCAAAACTGGATTTTCCTTTTCCGGGACGATGCTAAAAGATAAGCTTCTGATCCGACTCTATCCTATGGTTTGCCAGAAGACAGATGCTCCAACTTTCCCGTCTCTTCCACCTGGTGTACTTGCAACACCAGAAAGTGAGTGAAAGCTTTATATCTTTGACACGATACTCACGTCGGCGATCACGACAGTTGTGCTGAAGCAATGCTCTAGTCATATGAGCGAGTATGAGCACCAAGAGATTCTTCCGTACCAAGAAGTCTTTTTTATCGGCGCCAACTCACACAAAATACAAACGTCGAGCACGTCTGGCAATTGTAACTACGGTGAGTGTTATTGCAGATAGTTTTACACCGCTGATCTGATCATGTCCTGCAATTCTAGGATATGACGATGACAGAGGAGATTACCTTATTGTTGAACGCGATCATCTGGCTTATCGGTATGAAATAGTGGGTATTTTGGGGAAGGGTAGCTTTGGTCAAGTGTTGAAGTGCATTGATCACAAGCTCAAATCACTGAGAGCCGTGAAAGTCATTCGCAACAAGAAAAGGTTTCATCAGCAAGCGTTGATTGAAGTCAAGATTCTGGAGCACCTCCGCGACAAGGTACTTGGAAAACCTGCTTCCATTTTGAAACTAATTCTTTATTGCACAGGCTGGAACTTAATTTCATATTCATCACAAGGAAAAGTACTGTCTGAAATGTAATTGTTTATGAAAGGTCTTTGCAGGCTACAGAAGAATCTGCCAACTATAACATCGTAACCATCCATGAGAGCTTCTACTTTCGAGGCCATTTGTGCATCACCTTCGAGCTTCACGATATCAGCTTGTACGACTTGATCAAGAAGAACAACTTCCAGGGGATAAGCATGGCGGTGATCAGGGACATTGCCATCCAGGTTCTACAGGCACTCAAGTTCTTGCGGAAGCTGCACGTTATCCATTGTGACTTGAAGCCCGAGAACATTCTCCTACACCATCCTTCGTCCTCAAAGATCAAAGTGATCGACTTTGGATCCAGTTGCTTCGAACATGAGAAGAGTAAGATCTTTTTAAGATTTCCGGTGGAATCTCATCCAACCCAAACCTTCGCTTGCAGTTTATACATACATCCAGAGCCGTTTCTATCGGTCCCCAGAAGTCATTCTCGGTACGTTCTCAAGAAAAGAAATTCGCCAATAATCTGATTCCACCGCGATGGAAATGTTATGCAGGCCTACCTTACGATGTCATGATTGACGTTTGGAGCTTTGGTTGCATCCTAGCTGAACTATGCTCTGGTGAGTCGCACCATACTTCCGTGTTCAAGTGTCTGATATTGATTGATCTGCTGTTCGTAGGATGTCCATTATTTCCGGGAGAAAACGAAGTGGAGCAGCTAGCTTGTATGATGGAGATTCTTGGGACACCACCAGACTTTTTATTGGAGAATGCGACGCGAAAAAAAATGTTCTTCGGTAAGCTCACGCAACTTTCGTCAGACAAGTTTGGTAATCAACTTCAACACCAGATAGCAGCAATCACCCGAGGATAGTTCCCAACTCTTGGGGAAAGAAGTACTGGCCTGGAACCAAGAACCTCTCGACGGCACTTCGGTGCAACAACCCACTCTTTATCAACTTTTTGGAATGCTGCCTGCGTTGGGATAAAAACCAGCGAATGACTCCGGACGATCTCCTACAACACGCATGGATTCTTGAGGTAGAGTGTCGTGCTTTTCTCTAGCATCCGTCTCTAACAGTGAGAAGAATCTCTAGGTACCAACGTCCGCAAACAGGCTTCCTTTACAGCCTTCCAATCAGGACACGAGTAAGAGAAGGTACGCAGGGATTCTAGTCGTGAGATTTTTACACTCCCGAATCGATCTTTTCCTTTTCTCTACTTCTTCCTTGTAGATCGATGAAGAGCTCCGAAACTCCTCACAGATCTTTCAAGCAATCCAAGCAAAACTCCACCAGTGTCGTCAAGAGCCACCTAAAGCTTAGCAATTTGGGCAAGTGCGCCGACATTCCCAACGTATTGCCGCCCATTGGAGAGGCGCTCACATTTAGAACTCTACAAGAGAGGAAGAAGGCCGTGTAAAAGTTTCACAAAATTTTAAATCGCGAGGATATTCGGTTTTTTTTATTTGGCGGTCTTTTTTAAACTGAGGATATTCGGAATCTTGGCGGGCGAGTAGCGCACTTAGGTTTAGGGCTCTGCGGATGGCCTCCGCGCTGGAGGAATGCGTGGGGCTGATCAAGGCGTGCCGGAGCGCGGCCGACCTGAGAATCATCCATCCCCGGGTGATCTCTGTGGCGGAATCGCTGCGATCATCTAGCGTCTACCTCTGCAATCTTTTGGTCGAGAAATATGGGAGCTGCGGATGCCTGGAGGAGGCCAAGGCGGTGTTCTTCGCAACCCCAGGCAAGAACGATTTCTCCTGGCGTCTCGTGATCCTGGCATGCATCCGCAACAGATCCCTGGCCGACGCCGCGCGATTCTTCGAGCAGATGCCGGAGCCGGATGTGGTGGCGTGCACGGCCATGATCGGCGCCTTCTCCGAGAGCGGCAATCTTCCCCAGGCCAAGGCGGCGTTTGACAGGATGCCAAGCCCCAATTCCATCTCCTGGAACGCGATGTGCAGCGCCTTCGCCAAGCACGGCCTTCTCGATTCCGCCAAGGCCATCTTCGACAGGATGCCGGATCCGGATATCATCTCCTGGAACGCCATGATCGCGGCATTTGCCCAAAGCGGCGACCTCTCTCGTGCCAAGAACGTGTTCTACGCGATGCCGATGCACAATCTCGTCACCTGGAACGCGATGCTGGGGATTTTCGCGCAAAATGGGCTGCTCGAGGATGCCCAGAGGGTGTTCTCCTGGATGCCAGAGCGGGACGTTGTCTCGTGGACGACGCTCTTGGGGGCATTCTCCGAGGCTGGAAGCTTGGAAGACGCGGTGTTCTTGTTCGATCGAATGCCCTTCCAGGACGTCGTCTCGTGGACGACGATGCTGGGGGCCTATGCAGCGGCGGGATTGATCGAGAAAGCCAGGAGCTTGTTCGATGCTATGCCCGTCCAGGACATCGCTGCCAGGAACGCAATGCTCCTGGGCTATGCCCAGAATGGTTTGGTGGAGCAAGCACAGGAGATCTTCGACCAGATGCCGTGGAGGAACCTCGTCTCGTGGAACACTCTTCTAGGCTGCTATGCCCAGAACGGGCATCTGGAGAAGACCAAGGAGGTGTTCGACAGGATGGAAGCCAGGAACTTGATATCGTGGAACTCGATGCTGAGAGCGTTCGCAGAGCAGGGAATCTTGGAACAGGCCAGGGAGATCTTCGACACGATGCCCTCGCAGAACTTGGTGTCATGGAACACGATGCTGCTCGCCTTTGGCCAGAACGGGCAACCGGAGGAAGCAAAAGCTCTCTTTGATCGGATAGGAGTGAGGGACGTCGTGTCCTGGACTGCAATGCTCGCGGCGCTGGCGTCGACTGGGAGTCTGGAGGAGTGCCGGAGCTTGTTCTTCGTGATGCCTCTCCGGGACGAGATCTCCTGGACGACCATGCTGGGAGTGCTCGCTCACAACGGGCATATGGACGAAGCGAGCTCTCTCTTCGCCGAGATGCCGCTCCAGGACGACGTCTCATGGACCGCTCTTCTCGTGGCATTCGCTCGCAACGGGCACGTCGATCGAGCTCTCGAGATCTTCCGAGCGATGCAAGTGGAAGGCATGACACTGGACAAGATCTGCTTCATATGCATCCTCCTGGGATTCAGCCACGCCGGAAGCTTGGAGAAAGCCTACGCTTGCTTCGAATCCATGGTGGTGGATCACGGCGTGAAACCCAGCAAGGATCACTTCAGCTGCATGATCGACATACTTGGCCGAGTCGGGAAGCTCGGAGACGCGGAAGAACTGGTTGGGAGTATGCCGTTCGTGCCGGATGCTACAGCGTTCCTCGCGTCGTGTGGGACTCACAGCGACTTGGCGAGGGCTCCTGGTGCTGCCCAGAAACTTTTCCGTGGAAGTCCCACGAACACTGCTGGATACGTGTTGCTGGCCAACATGTATACGAAGTAAGTCACAGCGGGGGTCTAGGGTTCTTCATTTTCGGCAATGGCTAGTCGCTTCCCTGTCTCGACGGCACAGTTCTCTTCCACTGTCCAGGTAAATCTCTCGCTGCCCAGCTTGGGTTTTTTCGAGTTCTTTCTTCTACTGAGCGTCTTTGTGCTTGACAGGGTTGCGAGACGCATTTCGTGCTAAGTGGCTATGACGACCATATCATGGTAAGCTCGACCATTAAACTTTGGCTCTGGAGAAAAGAAAGATATAAACCTTCTTGCTCAGGTCCTTGCGACGCAAATTGGAAGAATGGGCACGATCTTACAAGCCAGGTACGTGTTCCTCTCTGGCCGTGCCTTATATTCTAGGATTCAATTACTGATGCTTCTACAGCGTCCAACATGCTTTCTGGATCTTTCAGTGCGCGCAGTCTGATATTCTCATATTTCCACGCAGGAAGGAGGAAGGCGAATGCGGGGAGCTCTCTTACAGCGTGAACGTTCTCATGGGCCGGCGAGATGAGGTACAGAAGCTCATAATTCTTTCTAGAACTCAGCTTCTGCATTGCTTGCAGCCTCTACTGGTTGCATGTGCTCGACAGCTTATAGAGCTCATAAGGTACATAACGATCTCCATAGTTCCCTGTGCAGTCTGTGTTAATGCTAGCAATCTTAATCCTCTTGGCAGCAACTCTGGCTCTTCGCGGTCATTGGTTTTGTCTCTTGGATTGAAAGATCACTCCCAGGTACATCTATGCTCTATTACTTCTTGGACACTGGTATTTATTTCATTCTGTGCAGGAAACGTTAAAAGAGATCATCAGGCTCGTCATTGCAAACAAAGTTTGGTAGCGTGGCAACGCTAAGCTAATGGCCTTATACTTACAAGTTACAGTGGCCTGGCCTAGCTGCGATGCGCACGGTGTATCCTTATCTTTACGTCGTATTCCACTGACTGAAAGCTACTTTGGCAGCTCTCTTGGATCTCTACTAGCCTGGCTTGCACGAATTTAAGATAGAAACGCTCGCAGAGTGAGGAGAGCTACCAGCACCACCGACTTGAGCCATCCATCCGTGTTGCTTTTTCCAGTGCATCTTTTGTTTTCACGAGTCTTTTCGCTCCTCTCTTTCTGTTTTTTTTTTTTTTTTTTTTTTTTTGCGGTCTCTTTTCTGTCAGAAAGATCTTCGATTCCGTGGCTATACAAGCTATTAACGCAGCTGTCAAGTAAGTAGCACTTTCTATCTTTTCTCTTTGTTCTAAGCTCACTGCCTTCTCATGAGTGAGTGACGACGGAGAGGAGTTTCACTCCCAGCGGACTACTTGGCGGATTCGGTAAAGGCCGAGGCAGTAAGTAGCTCGCGCTTGATTGGTCGAATCTTCGCCGCAGGACAGCGCTAACTTACAACGAGACAGAGATGAGTTCCATCGCATGCTTGTGTCGCGTTTGCTGTCATCCTTGTGGTCTGACACTCTTCTACCGCGCAGGCAATTCATCTTTTGGGTGGAGGGAGCGAGCTACGAAACAACGAAAAAGCTATGAGCTTGAGATGCCATGCCAGCCATCCGGATGCCGTTGCGGGCGAATCCTCGCAAATATGGGACAAGATAAAACCATCCGAAGGTGGTGGGGAATGCGACAGCTACCTCACCGCGAATGATTCATGCATTTCATCTCCAACATTAAAGAAATGGAGGGGCCTCTCTCTCGGCGCTCGCTGCCAAGTCGTTTCGTCCATTTCCGAAGAATGACAAAGTACCAAGAGAAACAATAAACAAATGGTGGCGATGCAAACAACACTTCTTCTGCTGCTGCTGCTGCTGCTGCGACTATTCATCACTAACAAAAGATAGAAAACAGGAAGTAAGTGCTGGCCCGATTTAAGTTGTCTAACACAGGCAGGACCACCGGCACTAAGCCGTTGTTTTCAGGTGTGATCGAACAACAAAGTAAAGTCAATTATCGATTCGAGACAAAGACATTGATTGTGTTGTACTCAGGCGCTTTGGTGATTTCGGGGAGTGTTCAAAGGTATGGTTTCTTTCTCTTTGTTTTTCTTTCTTATTTCAACGCACACTCTCTCACGCTGCTCCCATTCTTTGCTCTCGATTTCAGCGAAAGGCAGTAGAGAGGTGCGATGATAATGGCCAGCAGTGGTGTGATGAGCCTGAACAGCTCGCCAGCTAGCCAGCCACATCGCTCTCCTTTTCTCGTCGAAGTTTGCGATCTGATCTGTGCGCTGCGCTCCTGTGTATCGATCAGCCAAAACAAATCCCAATCCAAAGCGACGGTGGGCTCTATTCGGAGTGAAAGCTCAAAACAAACGGGAAGCAGGGACCGAATGGAATATCTCAACGGAGATCATGCCAAGATTTCTGGAGCTCTCATTCCTCCATCGCAAACACCAAAGGGAGGCATAAAACGAGTTTTCTATAAGCCAAGAAGAAGATCATCGTTACATGGTACACGGGACCCCTCAATTTTCTAGAATAAATGGCGAGATCAAGCCAATTGTTTTGTAATACGATTAAACTACGCTGGCCCGTGATTCTTTTTGTTTGTCCTCGTGCGCTCGTGTGGGATCATACGGGATTAACGAGGCAATGGTTTTACATTTGTTTAACCCATAGTCTCACTTCCCAGGTTGACTGTGTGGTGATTAGTACAAATAATTGTTTAGATTTTATTCGAATGACTTGTCATGGCATCTGGGAGATTGTACTGTGAAGAGAGAGAAGAGGCTTTACAAGACTTGATTTCCGATTACACAAGCATATTTGAAATCTGAAGTTCTTGAGTTGATCGGCAAATGTTCAGATTACACAAGCATATCTGAAATCTTAAGTTCTTGAGTTGATCAAGAAGTGGTTTTTCAGACACTTGGTTTCCAGATTACAGAAACAAGTAATCCAAATTTTTAAAATTGAAAAGAACTGAGCCTAGCAACATGCTGGGCCAAGGCTACCAAACAAAGTAATAGTTTTATTTGGAAAGGAAGAACATAGTATAGAGTGGAAGAAGTAGTGTAGCAGCAGCATGAGCTAGGTAGTCTAAAGAGAATTTTTGGCTCATGATCCACAAGAACAGGATAGGCAGGCATAATAGATAGATTAAACTTCTGCTCCCAGCAAAGTTGGAATAGCCTTCTCAAAATCTCTTGAAATGCAGCTCCTGGAAGATCCACCAAGTTGAGTGCAAGAATAAGTCCTCACAACATCACCTCACAGAAGTTCATAGATTCTAAGGAAATCTCTTCCAAAAGTTCCTAGTGAATGAAATCAAGGAGAAGAGCATGAGCTATAGCTAGCAGCTAGCTAGAGAAGAGCTTGTTTGTGATCTTCCACTCCAAGAATTTTTAGCTAGTGATCTTAGAGCAAGGAAAGCACACCATAGCTATGGAGAAGAAGAAGAAGAAGAATCACATCCAAGACAATGTGCTCTTGGCGATGGCATTCTCGATCCTCCTCCTGCCAGCGCGCGCGGACGATCCAACCGACGAGGCCTCCATCCTCAAGTCCCTGGCGGAATCCATGGACCCGGCCAAGCTCCTCCAAGACTGGTGGTCGGATCCCTCTAGCGGCGTCGCCGCCAGCCACTGCCAATGGAGCGGCGTCACTTGCTCCACCGCCGCCGGCCCCGTGACCTCGCTCGATCTCCACTCCAAGAACCTCTCCGGATCGCTCTCCTCCCACCTCGGCCGCCTCTCCTCCCTCTCCTTCCTCAATCTCTCGGACAACGCCCTCTCGGGTCCCTTGCCCCCTGCCATCGCCGAGCTCTCCAATCTCACCGTGCTGGACATCGCCGTCAATCTCTTCTCGGGCGAGCTCCCGCCAGGGCTTGGATCGCTGCCGCGCCTGCGATTCCTCCGCGCCTACAACAACAATTTCTCGGGCGCGATCCCCCCGGCTCTCGGCGGCGCGAGCGCGCTGGAGCACCTGGATCTCGGCGGGAGCTACTTTGATGGCGCGATCCCTGGCGAGCTCACGGCCTTGCAATCCCTGCGATTGCTCCGCCTCTCGGGCAATGCCCTCACGGGCGAGATCCCGGCCTCCATCGGCAAGCTCTCGGCGCTCCAGGTACTCCAGCTGAGCTACAATCCCTTCCTCTCGGGCAGGATCCCGGACTCCATCGGCGATCTTGGCGAGCTCCGCTACCTCAGCCTGGAACGATGCAATCTCTCCGGCGCGATCCCTCCCAGCATCGGCAATCTCTCGCGTTGCAACACGACCTTCCTCTTCCAGAACAGGCTCTCGGGGCCCTTGCCCTCCTCCATGGGCGCCATGGGCGAGCTCATGTCCCTGGATCTTAGCAACAACAGCCTCTCCGGCCCAATCCCGGATTCCTTCGCGGCGCTCCACCGCCTCACGCTGCTCAACCTCATGATCAACGATCTCTCCGGCCCACTGCCGCGATTCATCGGCGACCTCCCCAGCCTCCAGGTGCTCAAGATCTTCACGAACTCCTTCACGGGATCGCTGCCGCCGGGGCTGGGATCCTCGCCAGGCCTCGTCTGGATCGATGCTTCCTCCAATCGCCTCTCCGGCCCCATCCCCGACGGGATCTGCCGCGGCGGATCACTCGTCAAGCTCGAGTTCTTCGCGAATCGCCTCACGGGCTCCATCCCGGATCTCTCCAATTGCTCGCAGCTCGTGCGCGTCCGGCTCCACGAGAACCGCCTCTCCGGCCCCGTGCCGCGCGAGTTTGGATCCATGCGCGGCCTCAACAAGCTCGAGCTCGCGGACAATCTCCTCTCGGGCGAGATCCCAGACGCCCTCGCCGACGCGCCGCTGCTCTCCTCGATCGACCTCTCGGGTAACCGGCTCTCGGGCGGTATACCGCCGCGGCTCTTTACAGTACCGCAGCTCCAGGAGCTCTTCCTCGCCGGCAACGGGCTGTCCGGCGTCATACCGCGCGGTATCGGCGAGGCTATGAGCTTGCAGAAGCTCGATCTCTCGGACAACGCCCTATCCGGGACGATCCCGGAGGAGATCGCGGGTTGCAAGAGGATGATTGCGGTGGACCTGAGCGGTAACCGGCTGTCAGGGGAGATACCGCGCGCCATAGCAGAGCTTCCAGTGCTGGCTACGGTGGATCTCTCGCGGAATCAGCTCACGGGCGCGATCCCTCGCGTGCTCGAGGAATCGGACACTCTCGAGAGCTTCAATGTGTCCCAGAACGAGCTCTCAGGCCAGATGCCCACGCTGGGCATCTTCCGGACGGAGAACCCGAGCTCCTTCTCGGGCAACCCGGGGCTGTGCGGCGGTATACTGTCCGAGCAACGGCCATGTACTGCCGGCGGCTCGGACTTCTTCTCGGACTCCGCCGCCCCGGGGCCGGACAGCCGGCTCAACGGGAAGACGCTGGGCTGGATCATCGCGCTGGTGGTGGCGACGAGCGTGGGCGTCTTGGCGATCTCCTGGCGGTGGATCTGCGGCACCATCGCCACGATCAAGCAGCAGCAGCAGCAGAAGCAAGGAGGCGATCACGACCTCCATCTCAATCTCTTGGAGTGGAAGCTCACGGCGTTCCAGCGGCTGGGCTACACTTCCTTCGACGTGCTCGAGTGCCTCACGGACAGCAACGTCGTCGGCAAGGGCGCCGCCGGGACCGTGTACAAGGCCGAGATGAAGAACGGCGAGGTCCTGGCGGTAAAGAAGCTCAACACGAGCGCGAGGAAGGATACCGCAGGCCACGTACAGCGCGGCTTCCTGGCCGAGGTGAACCTCCTGGGCGGCATCCGGCACCGCAACATCGTCCGGCTGCTCGGCTACTGCTCCAACGGGGACACGAGCCTCCTCATCTACGAGTACATGCCCAATGGGAGCCTGAGTGACGCGCTGCATGGGAAGGCCGGGAGCGTGCTGGCGGACTGGGTCGCGCGGTACAAGGTGGCGGTGGGCATCGCACAGGGGCTGTGCTACCTCCACCATGACTGCTTCCCGCAGATCGTCCACCGGGACGTGAAGTCGAGTAACATCTTGCTCGATGCAGATATGGAGGCTCGGGTGGCGGACTTTGGGGTAGCCAAGCTTGTCGAGTGTAGCGATCAGCCCATGTCCGTCGTTGCCGGATCGTATGGCTACATTCCTCCAGGTAAGGAGAAAGATCTTTGCTCTAAGTTTGCTTCGTTTTCTTGCTATGCCCTCTTTGGGTATATGGATTGCTATGATTGTTTGCTAGCGGGACATTGTTTTGTTTGTGACGTTTCCAGATTCATGCGTTGGATACATGTAGAAGATGTTTGTGTTGTTGAAATAGTTTCTGGTTGTAAAGATGTTTGCTCCTGTTGAATGTTTTACTGGAGAACTGCTATGTTTGCAGCAAATGCCTAAACAAGGCATTTTTTTCTGAAATCTAACCTTTAGTTCTTTCCTTTTCTAGAGTATGCGTACACGATGCGAGTGGACGAGAGGGGCGACGTCTACAGCTTCGGCGTGGTTCTCCTCGAGCTCCTCACAGGCAAGCGTCCCGTGGAGCCCGAGTTTGGAGACAACGTCAACATTGTCGAGTGGGTTCGTCTCAAGATCCTCCAGTGCAACACCACCAGCAACAATCCGGCTAGTCACAAGGTCTCGAACAGCGTCTTGGACCCGAGCATCGCGGCCCCGGGGTCATCGGTGGAGGAAGAGATGGTTTTGGTGCTTCGGATTGCGCTGCTGTGCACGAGCAAACTCCCCCGCGAGAGACCCTCCATGCGCGACGTGGTGACAATGCTGTCTGAGGCGATGCCCCGGAGGAAGGAGACCTCGTGCTGCCAGCAACAACAACAACAGCAACAACACTCCTCGATTTGCAATTCACCCGAGTGATCCACTCGCTCATTTAAGATCGTGGTGGAACGATCGTGCAGGGAGCGATCACTATTTAAGAGCGCAGTGGAGACAGAGGATTCAGCAAAGGAAAGTCGATCCATCCATGGAGAACGACCGAGAAAAGGACTTGGACCTCATGCCAGCTTGTTCTCTCTCCATTGTCGATCGTGGCAGGCTCTATTGATTGATTATATGATTCATGTCCATTGACAGAGACGTATCATCCTTCTCCACTACTGAGAATCTATTCATTGTTTTTTAATTTTATAGAATACGTGAATAAAATACCATTTTAAATTTGGGTTAAAAATTCTAAATATATTTTAAGTGTTAAAACATTTACTAAAAATTAAATATATTAATTTTTTGGGGAAATTACTATCAAATGAAAATGAATTTATGAATACTTAGGACAAAAAAAGTTGATAGTCTTACCATTTATTAAAATAAAAACACTTTTTAGCCAATAGAGCAGCACAAACTAAACTAAGTTATAAGGTTTTTCATAAATTAGAAACTTTATTTTCATTATTAATATTAAGTTTTAGAAGTTAACCTAGAAGTTAATTAGAAGCTAATTAGTTAATTAGAAGTTAATTAGTTAATTAGAGGTTAATTAGAAGTTAAACCTAGAAGTTAATTAAGTATTAATATAGTTTTATTATTATTTAAATAATTATTATAGATTTTATTTCATATTATGTTAAAATTTATTAAGATAATGTTATTATACATAAAATTATACAATTTTTATTTTTCTCAATTTCACTAATATACATTTTTAAGGTTTATATATATATATATATATATATATATATGTGTGTGTGTGTGTGTGTGTGTGTGTGTGTGTGTGTGTTTTACCCTGGCTAAGTAATACACTAATTATAGTACTATAGCATATCCATTTACACATTTGTCTTCATTCTCTTTTAAATCTAGACTTAAATGTAAGCTTCTGAGTTTGGACTTCCCAGGAGGTCACCCAGCCCAGTACTATTCAAACCCAAGGACGCTTACATTTGGTATCGGAGCCCAGTTCGATTCTCATGGCTGACGAGTGGGGCAGGAATATTCTGAAAGAGTATTAGCTTTTTGTAAGATCTAGAATTCTAACTATCACTGTATTTAAATCTACTCTTTCTTCTAATCTTCCATTGCATTGTCTTCTTTACTATATCATGTTGTCATTAATCAAGGACTATATCACTTTAGCTTGTTAATGCTACTCATTGGATCAAACTTTTTATGCTATAGGGTGTGATCATATTGGTGCTATAGCCATCCTTGATATGTTATTATCTCTAGCTTCTATAGTATATAATTACACAGTTTTTCACTTTACCATCTCCCTATGAGACACAAATCCTTGTGCCCCAAAGTGGAGCTGAAAGAATGCCACATGGTAATAGTCAAAATGGAAGTCTAACAAGTATAACATATTTAGATCAAAAGCTTCAACATGGAAAATTGAGAGCGGGGATGATATAACCACTGAAGAGTCCAAAATTGAAGTGAATATAGATGGACAAGTGGGGTAACTTAGTGAAGTGTTCAAGAGTCAATTTTAGCTCTTTTGGGAGATTAAATGGTTGATACTCCCAATCCAAGTGTAGGTGGGACTATCTATTTGGATACTTGGTATGGCTTATCAAAACCTCATTCTACCCACATGGCTAGAGCACCCAAAGGCAAAAAGTGGGGAGAGTATTCATAAGGCTTATATAGGTCCATGGTGTTTCAAAATGTTATCTCAAAATCCTAAATTGTGGAAATAAAAAGGAATAATCCTCTTGTGTAGTGACCAAGGATGTAGTCATATGGCAAAAAAGTCCTAAAGGTCAATAGGATGTAGTGGTTAGGCATTCGGACCCTAACCCAATGGTAGTGTTGGTGAACATGATTAGGGATGGAGAAAGATTTAATGGGACCAAAACAAGGATGTTAGAGAATGTTATTCTTTATATCTTTAGGCATCCTAAAGATGTTAAGGAGTGGTTTTGGAATGACCACTCATGGACAGATGGCTTAGTCTTTGAGAGATGAGATTATGGCATGGGTGGTTTAGGACTACCAATAAGACAAAAGTAAATGGACATAACTTTAGCATAAAAGGCTGATATGTTGGTAATATATTTGGGGTGTTGATCATAAGATTAGATATATAAAGCACTCAGAACTTATGGAGGTTGTGAGTGAAACTTTTTCAAATGGTCGAAAGTGTGATTAAGTGACTAAAATATAATAGAAAATTTAGTCACTTATAACTTAGTATTAGAGCTATTCCTTAATCCAACTCTTATTAGTGTTTGAGTATATTACCACTCATATTGGCATCATAAGGCCCTAAGAGTGGGTCTATCTTCGAGAAGTAGCATATTGAGATGGTATGACTCTCCACTTTAGTTTATACCGGAACATATAGGTAATATGATGGATAGAAAAGGGCCAATAAAAGAACGACTTTGGGATTTTGGGAATAGTATAAAGTTTTTCTCAGAGAGTTGAGAATGTGATCCAAATGAGCATTTTGTAAGCAACTAAAGAGAATGACTTGAAAAACGATTCATAAGGGTTCAATATAAAAGGAAAGGGCCTATGAACAAAAATGCATCCTCTTTTCCAATTAGTTAAAGGTTTTGGGATATTTGGGGTTAAGTATCCTTGGGTTTGAATAGTACTAAGTTGGGTGATCTCCCGGGAGGTCCAAATTCAGGAGTTTACACATTTAACTTAGCAAACTAACTAATATGGTTGTGGTAAACAAATATAATTAGGACAATATGGAATAAAGAATAATCAAGTGTTAGAATAACATTTGCAAATATAGTCCTTGTAAGTAGGACAAGAATACAAGAAGTGATATTCTAACAAGCTAGCACCTCAAAAGTAGCCATAAGGCTAGGACCTATGGAATTAGTCAATGAATGGTCTTAAGGATTGGTGGAAGCATTTGGATTAAAGTGTATTGTACTTTACGAAGGATTATGAGATCTAAATATGAGAATAGTGAATATCTCATTGATCCCAAAATATGTCATACTAAAATTATGGGAAAGGTGTTCCCAGAAAAAAGTAACTTTGGTATAAAGTTGTATATTATTTGTATTCCCAGAAAAAAGCAACTTTGGTGTAGAGTTGTATGTAAACAATATAAAGCAATGCTAATCAATAGTTGGTATAAAAAATGATTGCTTTAGTTTTGACAAAACTTAGACACAAGTGAGAAGTGTCATGAGAGTAAGCTCATTGAGTCAATAGGGTGAAAAACCCAAGTGTCGCAAGGGATGATGTCTTGAGGTCAAGTTAATAAGTTCATAAGAACCCTTTGCCTAGGGAACCCCAATGGAAATGGGGTTGGCATTTGTATGTTTGTATTCATGTGTTTGTATTGAGTATTGATAAAGGCACAAAAGCACCAACAATGAATTGTAGGACATGATACTTATGAAGCAACTAAACAAAGGTTGGGAATGATTTGTTGGAAAAGTGGAAACTAACTTCCACAAAGACTTTTTAGTTGGATAAGAAGAAGGTTAAATACATCCCTTAAGGGATGTTATATGCTTATGTTTCAATATCAATAGGAAATACTTAATGCTAAGGAAGTCCATCAAGGAAATATATAAGCACTTTTTAAAACACCAAAGAGGTGGTGTTTAAGTGTTACAGGGGCATTAGATAAGGCCCAGAGGACAAAGTCTCTAAAGAAGAATGGATAGAAGGTGCTATCCAATATCCAAGGTTAACAAAAGCTAAAGACAAAGTAAATTTGACTATCAAAAGTGGATAAAGCCAAAATAATTTTATCATAGCTAGCAATGGGCATAAAGAGGCCTATGTATAGCGATATTAATCCTGGTGTGTAGGATTACATGATGAGCATATTCAGTTTAAAAAACCACTCCCTAAATCATTAAGTAGGTTCATCTCTAAGAATATTTGCTAAGGAATGGTAAGCTACCCTAAGAAGTTGGGAGGAAAATAGCTAAAGTGAACATGTAATGCTAAAAACAAGTAATAAAAGGATAAAATCAAACTACAGAAATTGTCAGAAATAGCTAATAGTGGTTATACAAGTTATGAGTGAAAAATCAAATAAGTGCTCGAAGGTGTTGTTACTAGCAACTATGATGCCATAGAGAGTTTAAAGTATAAAATTGTCTATGTTAAACTATATAACAATTACAAAGCTTGCAAAAGGAAATGCCTTAGCAAACTAAAGAACAAAGTCCCTTCAAGGTTCTTAAAGATAATTTTAAATAGGTTAGTAGCTAAAAAGATAAGTGTAAATGGTTTATAGTAACGCACAAAATCAGAGTGGCACAGTAGAAATATGGTTTTGAAATTTGCCATGAGGCGAGGCTATCAAAATTGAGAAAGTAGTTCCCAAGTGTTCAAAGTGATGGCTTTGAACAAAAGTCAATGGTTGAGGACTTACATACTTATGCATAAAACCATATTACACTGATCGACTTGTTAAGTGAGATTGGCAAGTTAGGGGAACAAAGACCCTATTTGAAGGTGTATGGGGCCAAGCATGAGGAGTTCATGCATAATCACAGATTTGTCAAGTAAGAGGACTTTGTAATTCGGAGGAACTAAGTTCTTAAATTGTGATCTATAACGTGCTTTAGATACAGGTTAATGCACCAACATGGGGAGTCACACTAAGCATCCTTGGTGATGCCACCCATAAATATATATATGTGGAGGTTAAGTTTGAATCCTAGCTCTCTAGTGTTTGAGTTCAAGTCCCAACTCACTAGGGTATAGTGATAATTTGGAATATGAAGACACTCATTTGGTGATGGTTATGGACTCTTAGTATGGAGGCTAGCTTGGGCACACACCAAGCAAGGGATGCCTCGAAGTCATGATGCATAGTTAGATTACTTAGTGTGAAAGTTTGACATATTTAATTTGAACACTTTGGTATAAATAGCACAAAAAACGTAGTGAATGAGATTGGGACACCCAAACTCAATTGCTATAAACCCTTTTCCTAAAAGGGTTGGCTTGGGCACACTACTAAGTGTAGGGGATGCCCTCGAGGTTATGGTCAACAACTTAAAGGTCTAGAAGACCTAGTACCTATTAACAACCTATTAAAGTGTTAAGGTTAGATCACTATATAATCTTATGGCTAAATAAGGATAAAGTCTTTGTAAGGTTAAAGAATAAAGTTCCTAATTCAAAGTGTTAATTTAAACTATTGGTAATGGATCATAGTGATAAGTGGAAAGGACATATAAAGGAAATGATCTATGACAATGTAATGATATTGTAAGTCCAAGGAA